AAGGAACCAAACGACCCCAGCCGTATTGTTATGTAGTGCAAAGTCTCACACCACCCTTCATCGAGATCAATTCTTTTCTGATGTATTGTTATGTAGTGTAAAGTCTCACACCACCCTTCATCAAAGCAATCCTTTTGTGATGTATTGCTATGTAATGTAATGTCTCACACCACCCTTCATCAAGGTCAATCCTTTTGTGATGTATTGTTATGTAGTGCAAAGTCTCACACCACCCTTCATCAAGGTCAATCCTTTTGTGATGTATTGTATGTAATGTAATGTCGCACACCACCCTTGTAATGTCTCACACCATCCTTCATCAAGGTCAATCCTTCACATTCATCAAGGTCAATTCTGATGTATTGTTATACAATGTAAAGTCTCACACCACCCTTCATCAAGGTCAATCCTTTTGTTATGTATTGTTATGTAATGTAAAGTCTCACACCACCCTTCATCAAGGTCAAGTCTCAGTCGCGCACCACCCTTCATCATTTCAAGTCTCAGAATTCTATTTGTCCGTAACACGGAAGTATTGCTTCCCAACTTCCTTTGATTAAGCTATTAGAATAAGCAATTAAGCTATTAAGCTATTAGAATAAGCTATTAAGCTATTAAGCTATTAGAATAAGCGATTAAGCTATTAAGCTATTAGAATAAGCGATTAAGCTATTAAGCTATTAGAATAAGCCATTAAGCTATTAAGCTATTAGAATAAGCGATTAAGCTATTAAGCTATTAGAATAAGCGATTAAGCTATTAAGCTATTAGAATAAGCGATTAAGCTATTAAGCTATTAGAATAAGCGATTAAGCTATTAAGCTATTAGAATAAGCGATTAAGCTATTAAGCTATTAGAATAAGCGATTAAGCTATTAAGCTATTAGAATAAGCGATTAAGCTATTAAGCTATTAGAATAAGCGATTAAGCTATTAAGCTATTAGAATAAGCGATTAAGCTATTAAGCTATTACACTAACAGCTTAATAGCTTAACGGCTTCTCCAAACAGCTTAATAGCTTAACAGCTTCTCCAAACAGCTTAATAGCTTAACAGCTTAATAGCTTAACAGCTGCTTCAAACGGCTTAATAGCTTAACAGCTTAATAGCTCAACAGCTTCTCCAAACAGCTTAATAGCTTAACAGCTTAATAGCTTAATAGCTTATCGGCTTCTCCAAACAGCTTAACGGCTTAATAGCTTAACGGCTTAATAGCTTAACAGCTTGTCCTGACAACTTAACAGCTTAATAGCTTAATAGCTTAACAGCTTAATAGCTTAACAGCTTATCCTAACAGCTTAATAGCTGATTCGATAGCTCTATAGAGGCTCAGTGGAACATCTTGCACTGCGCGGTGGAGGGAACGAGAAATGTCAGCTCAATGTAGCTAAAAAGGGAATCGTCACCACTCCGGAGAAGTACACGATTGCTCATAGCTACCACGTGGGGCTGAAGTTCATCGCGATCAAATGGTCAGACCTCAAGGATGATGACCAACTGGCACGGCGCCCTATTGAACTTAAGGACACAGATTCTGAGGACAATGTCAACTATCGCGCCAACGAGGAACGGCATGCAGCCAAACGTAAACGTTGAGCATTTCAGACAGCATTCTCTGATCGTGTATCATTAGTTTTCTTGTCCTAAACAGGATCATGACTTCTTTTCTGGGGATTTCCTGGACAAACGCATTGGCAAAATGCGACTGCTGACTTGCCCATCTGATTGCTTTTCACTCTTATGAACTTTTGTGGTCATTAGGAGCTTGCAGAGTTTGTTTAGTGACTTTGATGCACATACCAACATTGCTTGACAGGGCCTTGTACCTTAAATGTGATGTTCCATTTCATTTCATCCTGTCAATCGTTGTAAGCACCGCAGCTTTTTTGATCCATCAGTAATCTTGAACTGTCCACGCCACCATGGCAGAGTCTGATCGATCCCGCTCACCAGCACCTGGTCGAAATCGAGCTGAACCTGAGCCTCCTCGCCCTCCTGTACGGCAAGCTCTTCCGTTCTTTCCTCGATGGTGTGGTCCTATGCAATCAGCGATTTGGCACTCTCAACAGATGCTGCGACCTCAGTCCAGACCTCAGTTCCAACCTCAGTTCAATATGCGCCAGTCGGGACCTTATATGATGACTCCACCAACAGATCCATCAGCTTCGATGCATACATGGCCAAATCCAAGACTTCCACCTACCAATCCAAGATTTCCACCTGCACCTCCTTCATCACCACCACCAACACTTGCATATCCACGTCAATCCAGCTCAGCCACTCCGCCATGTTCACCTACGATTCCATGTGCCCCGACTCAACTGGCTTCGCCCAGTACTCCATCAATCCCGTCGTCACAACCTCGCCACTCTGGCATTCCATTCTCCAAGTCGCCAGGAGGACAGACTACCATTGATGAAAGTCGTACATATGGCTTCGATCTCAACCCTCACTGGCAAGACGATCAAGACCACTACGACAATCAGAAGATCAACGGCTTGACCTTCCCTCGAAGTATTCGACCTTCAGCTTTTACACAAAAGCTCGACATCGAGGGATGCGATCCACTGAAGCTTCCAGTAGCGGCCTTACTATATCAGCAGGCCAACAACTTCTGGCTTCGGAAGCTGGCTCATGGGCGTGAAGTGTACCTGATTCCTACGGGGGACATCGCAGCGGTGGTATTCATGACGGAGCTATTGACTCAATTACGGAACAAAGGGGTGGATCTTGACAAGGTGTCATCTTGCAAAGCCAGACAGGATGGAAAGTTGCTGGACAAGACCAACAACACCAAGTACGCTGCTCAACAGATCGCAGACCTGATCCATACTTGGGTTCCTACCCGAATGGCAGACCCTGACACTCAACAGGAACTGACTCAACTTCGGAGTCAACTCGCCCAACTGCGACAACAACTCGGGGAAAACCCGGGCGAATCTTCATCTCCGGGCACTCCTGGCCCTCCAGCATCCAGTCCTGCTGCTACACCTATCCAAGCTGCTCTTCTTCGAAGCTCTCAACAACCAGCTCCTCCTGCACCTCCGGGCTTTGATCCTTCATCCCTTCTTGTCGGCACCACCAGTGTCAATCCGTGGCTCACTCAGAACATGCCACCCACCCTTGCAGTCAGAGCCTTCAACAAGTGGTTGAAAGAACTTGCTCTTTCCGAAGCAAAACGCAAAGTGCTCACCGACAATATTGCCAAGACGGAGGAATGGTGGGCCAAGCAACCAGCTGACGCCCTCGAGACTGTGGAACGCGTGGCAGTCATGATGGGAATCCCAGTCAATCTCATGGGCAAAAACTATGATGCGTTGAACCTCCTCCGGGCTATGACAGCAGGCATCAGCCTTACCAATTGACTAGCCCCGCTCTTGCGTCGGAAACTTAAGCACAAAGTGCTTCAATCCCATTTGCAAATTCTCCATTCGATGATCCTCATTCTTTACATTTTGACTCCCTTCACCATGACTTACAGCATCCATTTATTTCAAGGATTCCGCATCATTCAAACGCGAATGATGCTCCTGACAATTCTCCATGGTCACCGACCTAATCCCAAGCTGAAGTCAATTTTGGAAGGATGTGCGGACCTCCAACACCTGTGGGGCTTCACGCTACATTCCCACAACCTTTTCTCCAGACAATTTTTCCAACCTCAGAGCGTCTATGTCCGTTTCACTCACATCCAATCAATGCAACCCAAATTCTACGTGGGCTCTGCAATGCACCATGTCATGGACAGAGAGTACAGCCGCTCCAGGAAATACCTTCAACTCACCAATGAGAGACTTGTGCAAGCTGAACTGGCACTTCGTTACTGGCAAGAACATGACAACTTGTATATTTGGGCGCCTATTCCAATCTATACAGACAGAAGCGACTATCGCAGCCTGGAAATGGCACTGATTCAAGAATGGCAACCTCGCCTCAATTATCCTTTTATTTGCCAATTCTTCCACCCAAAGAAGGGTCTTCTCAAAAAACCCCTTCTTAACACCAATGCGCAATTTGGTCTTGCGACTCTTTGGCGGCGTGCCAAACACAAGTTCACTCCACAACTGGTACGTCAAATTTTGACCTCTGCCAGATTCCAGAATCGTCTTGAACTCTGGACAATCATCCACGCCCTAGGTTCAAATACCAAGGCAAGGTTTGAGCAAACAAAGCTGCTCAGATCCAATGATGGTGGATTGACCTTATGCTACGCTCTACGTCGACTGGCCAACAACACCCAGGAGCCCTTCCGTACCCTGTCCCTGAATGCCATCGATGCCTCCATCCAATGGTGGCGAGGGAAACCAGCACCCAAGGCGACAGCTCTACGGGCCCCATGGTGCCTCGCTCCCGACCTCCAAAAAACCTTGAAGAAGTTTCTGCGACAATGGCATGTCAGGATGCTTGCTCACCAGGTACCATGTCACACTCCTTCCTTCAAGACGGTCTTCATCAAACATGTGGCAGTGTTGGACATCCTTTGCAATCACAAACAAGCCATCGACGACTGGTCGACTACGAACCCAGCCATATGTTGTTGCAAATCCTGGTCCTGCTACAAGAGTGCGGCACTCAATCCTTCGGACTCTCACTGGGTTCTCTCCGGCTCTCTTCTCCATTCCCATCTCCAACCAGACCTTGCTGTCATTGCGGAAGGATCTTTGGCCAACAAAGTCTTCCCGTCCAAGAAGGAATTTCAAAACCAATTGCGTCTTGGCTTGAAGAATTGGACCAAGCGCAATGGTCTTCCTTCCATGCCCCAGTCCGATATCACCGACCTTTGTCACCTGTTGTGGCAACAACACCTGTCACAGATCACAGATCACATCACAAAGCAATCCATTGGACGTCTTCAAGACACCTTTGATGGTGCCATCTTCCATTGTGAGGACAAACACGCTTCCTCTCTTCGAATATTTTGCCCGTGCATTTATTTCGAATCCATCGAGAAGACATTCCAAGACCCTTCCATCTTTGAATCCCTACCCAGCGAACCATCATCAATCGTGACTTCCTTGGTTGAATCCCTTCAACGCCAGCACGGACGTGCATATCCGTGGGCAGTGGGATCGGGTCGCCAGCTTCCATCTGGGTATATTCTGGCCAAAGGGAAGAAAGACTTCCGCAGTGGCAGGCCGATTATTTCCTTTGTCGACTCCCCATTCAGACCAATGCTCAACATTCTTGCCAGACTCATCTTCCAGCTTATCCCTACGGCATGTCCAAATCATTTCGCTACAGGCGACGTGTACACTCTGCTCGCGATATTGCGATCGGCGCCTGTCGGCGCCGATTTGATCTTGGTCAATCAAGACTTGGCCGGCTTTTTCACAAGTATTGATCAAGACAGATTCCTTCGTTCCTGGTTCATGCTCCTTGACTTTCTCCGGCCCAAGATGAATGTCTACGATGAGGAAGTTTTCTCTGTCTACCCTGGAAAGTCCAACAATCCAGGAGACATCATCAAAGGACGAACCTTTCGTCGCCTTAATGTCACTCGGAAGATTGTCGTCGGTGATGTACCAGACTTGATCAAGTCCGCCTTACATATGCAGACATTCGCCTTGGGACAACGTTGCATCCGCCAACGCCGAGGCAGTCCCATGGGCAGTCCTCTTTCTCCGGCCCTATGTCTCATGGTTGTATCCATCAGTGAACAGATTTGGTACCACACCTTCCATCAACTTCTCTCCAATCATCACCTGTTCATTAAACATGTCCGTTACGTTGACAATCGCCTCATTTTCGGTGACAAACGCCTGACCTCTTTTGAGCCATATGAAGTTTTATTGGACGACGGCTTCTATGGAAAGCCTATTATTCTCGAAACTGAGCCTGATCAAGAATTCCTTGGCTTTATGATCGAAACAAAGCCACTTGAATTGATCTATCAGGGACCAACACAGGTGTCACAAGTCCTCTCACCATTCTCCGCTTCACCTCCTTCAGTCCTGCTCAGCGGCTTTCGGTCAAGATGTCACATCGTCATCAAAGGAGCTTTCCCATCTCAGCGTGTCCAACAAGGCTTGGCACAACTAATTCGTTTATACGTACGAGCTGGCTTTCCCAATGAGGAACTTCAGGCCATCTCAAACCAACTTTTGATTCAGCATCAGAACTCAAGTTTGCAGGTCTCAAAAATTGCTCCTGCTGTTTTTGGCATGGGGTTCTCTTTTGTGTGTTCCCGTTGTTTTTTCCTCTTTCTTGTTTCTTGTTTCTTCCTGTCCCTTCTCTTGGTTGTTGTCTTTCTGTGGTCTCTTGTTTCCCTCCGTCAGCTCCCTGGCTCAAGCTACGCTTTCCTTTTGCTCCACTTTCGTTTGATCGCTCATGGATCATGCTCAAGGACGAGCGTTCCATCATCATTTGGCTAGAGCTATCATGCATCTCAACTATCTGGCAGGACTCTTGCCTTTCTTCGAGCCCTCCATTGAATATGATGAAGCGCCGCCTCCGGCCAATTTCCGTCTTGATCATCCAAACACCAGAGGCCTGCATACTTTTGTACCTCGCCCGACATCCGAAGGTCCTCCGACCTTGGTATCACATGGAGGCATCCCATCCCACATGGTCTTGAATCCAGAACCGTTCCTGCGACCGGCATCAACAAGCTCTCCACCAATCAATACATCTATTCTCACCACTGGTACATCTCGACCTGCCAGTCTTATGACGGACCCTGGTCCAACTCCGACTCCTGGATCCACAACAACGATTACCTTCCATACGGCCCCCACACGCACTACCACACCTGTGCCAGTGCGATCAAAACAACGGTCATCATCTCTGGTGGACCCACAACCAAAAAAGAAACAGAAAGGGGAGTCAATTCCTGAACCTAGACTCGCCCACAATCTTGATGCTGTCCATTCGACCTCGTTACCCATTATTTCAGACGCCCGTTCAGCAGACATGAATTCGGATGACTCCGATGGTGAAGCTGCGTCAAGAGAGGATATCAGCTACATTCATGGTGGGAAAGCAAGACCCAGAACACCGCCTCTGACCTTGACTCCCAATCCAAAAGCTCCGCCGTCTCCACAGATGCACATCACTCATGCTATTCCTGCTAATACACCTCCTGATCCGGCTCGTCCGTGGACCCACGCCGATGACCAGGAATTGATTGGCATGAAACAGGACACAAAGTCCAGACCTTCGTGGAAAACAATTGGAGCAAGACTCCATCGCGATCCTCAGCTCTGCAAGCTTCGCTGGGGACTTCTGAAACAGACATCAGAAGTGAATGACCCACCGGGTCCGGGAAATCCACCTCATGAATTGGAGGGTGATGACTGACTTTAGCATCAATTCTTGCGATGTCAAAAAAGGCGCCATTGCTGCCTCATTTGGGGCTGTTGTTGACTTGCTTCAGGTTTCCCTTTCTTTTTGCTTTTCTTCGTGTCCTTTTTTGAGGTCTCCCTTTTGGTTAGTCTTTCTTTTGCCTGGGATGAATGTTCTTACTTGGTGTCTGTTCACCCACAGCAAGTATGGCTCATTCATATTATCGTCAACGAACAGCTCCTGAACGCTCCCGCTCTCGGGACGACAATATGTGGCAAAACCGTGGTACTCATCAACATGACAGGCAACGAAATCCTCGACCTGAAGAACCTCCTCCTGCTCCTCAAGTCCGAAAGGTCTTGGTCATCGTTGACATTGAACAAGTCCGTCCGCTCATGAACAAAACCCATGATCACTCGATGGCCGCTACAACATGTGAGGTTCTCCCTCGCCTCACTCCGGTCGAAGAACGTGCATTGTTCACATTCAACATCCTGCTCAACACACACACAGGTTGGAAACCTTCACGGTGTACAACCTGTTGTATTGCATCAGCCAGCACATTTGGTATACGTGGGATCGATTCTTATCTCCTTCAGCCATGGACATCAGATGGCAAGATGATACTGGAGATACGTTTGCTCTCCGCAACGAAGAATACCTCGTCACCTATCTGAACGCATACCGCTCTCACTGGACTGAGGGACAAGAACATAATGAGTTCTTTTCACATCACATTCATCCCTTTACGTCTCACATTCAGCCTTACATTATGCGCTTGAGTTGCCATGAGGCTCTTCCAAACCGCAACATGCTTCCTTAAGGTTAAAAGTCTCTTACATGTAGGGACATGGGACTCTCCCGTTCGCTTGTGTGGTTTGCTTTTGCTTCTTGTTGTTTTTTACCTGTTAAAGTCTTTAGCTCTTGGCTCCAGCTGTACCATGACCAAGCGTGATTCCTCATTTGCCGGTCTCACGCGTCCTTCTTCATCCATGAGCAAGCCACGTCGTGTTTCATGGAGATCCCGCAGTCATGGCCAATCCAGTAGCACTGCTGCTCCTTCGGATCTATTGCAGCCGCCCCGTGGCGACAATGCTCCCCAAGCTGGAAGTTCCCTCTCACCTAATGCATCAGGCGAGTACACAACCCACTATGGGTACTCTTCGGCAAATCTTGCCACACCCATACCATCTCCAGCCGATCATCAAGCTCCAATTCTACCTACTCCTACAGGAGAATCATATCCACTCCAGCAAGAGATGGAAGAAGTCCGACGTCAGCTCCATGCATACTATTTTGTGGAAGTCCAATCACCTCCAGAAGATGACGATCAACCGGCGCTTCGACGACTTATGGTGACGGAAGTGGATCGACGTGGCCGCCACCACAATAGGCAGCCTGAATATTTTTTCAACGGCATCATCGGCCATGTTCGTGCCGGACAGAATGGCTGGATTGATTCATGGGATCAATCCTCCCAGCTCGCCAACTACTGGCGACGCTACTTTCAGATCCCCGAGACCTCTCCATATGGTAACTGGCGTCCCCATCAAGCTGACGGTCCAGAAAGCCCTACATCGGCACATGAATCCGTCATGGATGACACCGATTCTCTCATTGCCAATGCTGACATCAATCCACCTCCTGTCCAGATTCATCAACTGGCAACGTTCTTCTGGAACATCCTCAACAATGACAGGGAGGCCAACATGGCCATACTCGAACGTCTGGAGGATCCTGAAGGAGATCTTTCCCGACACCCAGTTCAGATCTTCTCGGCGGCAGACTTGGCTCATCTTGCTAGCCACTTGGCGGAATCCACAAGGACTTTGTCTATCCAAGCACGACGCATGGAGGCATTACCTGATGACAGCCTGTGAGTTTTAGGATTAATTCATTCGATGTTTCTTCCCTGTATTTTGAAGCCATTTCCGCTTCAGGGAATGGATAAGAGCTCTCAAGGTGGATGAATTTGAAAAAAGCCTCGCGGCAGCGAGGCGTGTGTGTGGAACATCTGAAAAGATGTAAAACTTCCTATAGCTTTGACTTGGTTCAATTTTACTTCGTACTTGCAGGGGGTAGCGGCAGATCATTTGGGACCGCTACCAACGAAGACACCCATTTGATCTGGTGATACAGATTGGGACGCCAATCTGCGTACCTGCACTAATTTTTCATTTCCGTCAATGGCAACCGGCCAAGCCAAGAACCGGCACGTCGGTTTTCGGTTTTCAATTGCATCAGAACCTTCCTCTGAACTTCGATGTCAACAGGTTTCAATCCAATGTACGGTTTTCGCAATCTGATTTACTGCTGACTTCGTCAGATGGAACAGTTGTTTTTTTGCACGGACAAAGAAAGAATTCTTCTACAATGGTTTTCTCGCTAAGTCATCCAATTTTCCTGTCAGACTTTAGGGGACTGTTTGTGCACGCCTGATGCACTCCACAACAGTAATTCGATAAGAATTTTCTGAGCAAGTGTGTGTGTGTGTAACATCTAAATAGATGTAAAACTTCTCTCTCTTTTTCTTCCTTTGTCCTCTCCCTTTCTAACTCTAATTTTAATGCAGGGGGCCACCGGGGTCCCGGGGGGGTCGGTGGCCACCGAAGACACCCCCCCGGGACCCGTGTAAACGTACCTGCATCGTTTCGTATCTAATCTGCATGTTTCAGGATTCAGTTCCTGCCGGATCATATAATGATCCATTCTTGTCTAGTGTGATTTCCATGGTGGCTCCGACATGGTGCCATGGAGCCATTTGAGGCAACCCTTTTTAGGGTGAGTGATGACTGTCCTGACTGCCGAATTAACACATTTTAATTTAGTAATTCATCTAAGTAAAGCGAAACAGTCAGCCTTGCGGTTTGTCAATCTTTTCAGATGTCCCGCTGTTCCCGCGGTCCAAGGGATCCCAGTGCTCCGTTCTTTCAAGTGAAGCCATACCGAACATTCAGAAACCTCCGTTTTCACTGCAGCTTCAGCGTTTGCGATGAGACATGACATGCAAGACAACAGGCAACAGGCATGTCCTTTTCCTGCAGGTGTGGTCTCTTTGGTATCTGGTGAGGTGAAACATGTTGTGCATCTAATTCGATGGAACTTGTAAGCCGTTTATGCCCTTGTGGCTGACTGGAACACGGGCCTGTTGTGGCACAATTGCACGAACAGTAGGTATAGGAACTGGGTCCTGTTTTTTAACTAATTGTTTTGTTTTTTGTCTGGCATCAACTAGTTCCCCATTTGGTCCCTAATCTTTCCCTGCGTGCCTCTCCGTAACGTGTTGTGGGGTTTAGGTGTGTGCGCTGTTTTGGTCAGGTCCGTTTCGCCGTGTAGGTTGGTTCCGGAGGTCCGTCTGTTCCCCTCCCCCCCCGCGCTGTTTTTGGCCGTCTGCCCGTCGTGTGTCCGCTTTTTTCTTCCTCTTGCCTTTCAGGGTTGACCCGGCTCCGGCCGGGTGTGTGTGTGTGTGTAACATCTAAATAGATGTAAAACTTCTCTCTCTTTTTCTTCCTTTGTCCTCTCCCTTTCTAATTCTAATTTTAATGCAGGGGGCCACCGGGGTCCCGGGGGGGTCGGTGGCCACCGAAGACACCCCCCCGGGACCCGTGTAAACGTACCTGCATTGTTTCGTATCTAATCTGCATGTTTCAGGATTCAGTTCCTGCCGGATCATATAATGATCCATTCTTGTCTAGTGTGTAAGAAGGTAGTAAGAACCTGCCCCCATCCCAACAACATCACTCCAAATGGTTCCAAATCTCTCCTAGGCACCGCCCATTCCAGGGAGACGCCATCGTGCAGAGAGCTCAAGAAGTAACAAACCAAGAGCCCCGCGGCACTTTTGGCCGCCAGGGGCCATTGGAGGACGCCAACAGCCAGGAAGAAAACGATGAAACTCAGCAGCTCAGCAAGTTGACCCTTGGCGATCAAGTTCCCGGCCAATAAAGCGATGATGCCCACCACGAATTTCGTGGTGGCCTCCTGAAATCAAAGGATATCAAAGGATTGAAGACAAGGTAAAGTTGCAATAAGTTGCATGTGAACTCATGACATCATCTTATCATCTTGGATATGACATGTCATCATGAGTGGTTTGATGTTTTGTTTTGTTGCTGTGGAATTTGCGTCCTGGTGCTCTTGACAAGATGTACTGAGTGTACTGTCGCCTGGCCTGCCTTTTGAGAAACGGAGTTGGCGCCTTGTCGCCAGATAGCAGCTCCAACAGGTCTGGCACACTGTTGACCCGCGACAAGCTGGGTGATGACCAGGGGTGAACGCTCTCAGCGTGGAAGACGTATTGGTACTGCCACTGGTCGCCATCACAAAAGCAATCGTAGCTGTACAACGAAAAGTCACCCGAAGATGTCATCCATTCCAGGTTGAGCCGCTATCCAACAGCCTCTGAGCAACAAATGACCACAAAGCAGGGAGCAAAGAGTCATTTTTGTTGACAGAATTTGCACAGAAACAAAATTAAATCAGACACAAACATAGACCGCTAAGTGAAGTCCACGCATAACAAAAAAAATGAAGATCGCAGGCACCTTGTGCTCTTTGGTACGCACTCATGGCTTTCTCCAGTGTTTTGCCATCTGGCTCCAGGTCATTCTCTAAAGGATTTGAAATAATCCAACCCAAGGCACTTCTGAAGAAAGAACAGTGCCATGTGATGCTGGATGGTATGTGATCGCAGTGAGCCGAACAGTAATCACATGCGTGTCTGATAGGGCACAACGGTAAACAATTTAGCATGTGTCGTTGAAGCTGGCTTGAACCACATCAAGAAGTTTCAGGTAGATCTTTTGAATGTGAAGAAAGTTAAAGATCGCTGTCCAATCTTATTGACAACTATGACATACTGTTGGCAAGTGGCTGATTACTTGGCTGATTTTTCTGCCCAAAAACTTCCGACCCTTGACTCGACCATCGACTCAACTGTGGAGTTCTAAGGTCCGAGTCGTTCGAGTCGTTCGAGTCGTTGCTTCTCTTTTTCAAGAGATGCTGCAGCTGTCTGCTGTCTGCTGTCTGCAGCTGTCGGACGCCCGTTTTTTTCTGCCGGAGAGGTGACTTCATCAACTCGCGGCAAATTCCCCACGTCTTCGACGTGACAAAATGTGGCAAACAACCAAAGGTGTCATCATGTCAAACCATGAAACGCCTAGATTCTTAGATCTTCCATTCTTATCTTCCAAATGTTTTCCCCTGACAACTCAACAAACCATCAGATTGACCTGATGGACCTCTGGATGTTAGGCTTCAAATGTTCGAATTCATGGATTTCTGCGGCTGCTTCACCGCCAAATCCATATGCAGCTTGCCAGCAACAGCCATGGAGCACTCAGACCTGTAGCTGGGATGAGAATGACGAACCACGTCATGGCTATGACGGCTATGACGTGTGTCTGTCACAATGAAGACAAGATCGAAACACAAAAATCAAACAAATGCAGAAATGTCAGTTTGCTGCGCTTTCCGTGTCTGATACGGGCTCATTCAATTTACGCGTTTGTGTCATGTAATGTGTGATACCGGGAACCCAGGACCCTAGGTCCCTAATGGTCCCTAGGTGTCCATAAAGATCATAAAGGGGGCTCGTTTGCGCCATGACTCGGACCCTTTAAGGTCCGCACCACTGGCACCATCCAACACTGTGTCGACTGTCCCGAAAGCTGCCAGCGTCGTGGTGCTCGCTGTGGTGCTTTCTGTCACGGTATGAGTTGTAGTTTCAGTGACCGTTGCAGTCACCGTGCTGGTCTCAGTTTCCGTCACAAAGAGCGTGGTGGTAGCTGTGCTGGTGCTGGTATTGGTGATGTTAGGTGCATCCGCAGAACTGGGCGTGGAAGGTTCGGCCACCGATTGCACACTCAAAGAATTCTCTCCAGTTCCAGCCGTTTCAGCTCCACTTCCAGCTGTTCCAGCTTCACTTCCGGCCGTTGCAGCCGTTGCAGCCGTTGCAGCCGTTTCTGTGGCCTCTGGCGGATTTGGAGCCGGTTCAGGCGGTTCAGGCTCCGGCACCACTTCTGGCAGTGACGGCAGTGACGTGCTGGTCACAGTGACAGTGCTACTGCTGGTGATCCCACAGAGCTGTCGAAGTTCCTGGTCAGATCTGGGTAAGTCGATGCCCACGTAGATCAGGGCTGCATCCAACCTGTGGATTTCAGTTTTGAGGGATGTTGGTAATAAAAAGAATATTAAGAAAATATCCGGGATGGTCTGGGCTGAAGAATGGGCTGCATAGTTGTTGTGGAAATATATATATATATATACATACACACACATATATATATATATATTATATATATATATATTTGAACAGGAAGGTCAAGCTAGTTTCGTGGAATAGTACGAAGGAATATGGACCGAAAATCGCCGAACGATGTCGTTTTCAAGCAACAATGGAGTGCAGTGACTGAGGATCAACGGCGTCTTGGCCATACAACTGAAGGTCTGCCAATCTGGACAGATCAAGGTGGCTGCATCCATTTCACCTGCAAAGACCGACATGATGAGACCTCCCAAGGGTTGACAAACTTCTTCACAAGCTTCAATGCATTGAGGAGCATAATCTTCGATCATCTCCAGGATTTGGTTCCCTTTGCATTCGCTATCTTTGCCGTTTGCCATTGCTGCCACTGCTAGTAGCACCAAGCATTTCCAGCCACGCTGGCGACAGCATGGCATGGCCGAACACGTACCTCTGTAAGCCCTGGGGGATAAGTTTGAAACACTGCAGACAAAGACGCAGCCCTGTGACATCAAGTGACTCAGGTCATGACATGAAATTCAATGTGATGCATGTGATCCATGAATTACAGTAGTGCCGGCGCCTGCTCAGGCGCCAAAATGCTTGCCAAGAATGCGAATGTGTTCTTTCAAACATCAGTTATATAATCATGGCGGTATCCACATCTGAGCTGAAGCATGCCAATATAAAATCAACCTAGCCAAGCAGGGCCAAGCACAATACATTAAAGCACACTAAGTGTCACACTAAATCTATCAAAATATCAGTTGCTCTCGATTTTGGTCTTCTGCATGTCCATTGGCCACGCTCAATCCACCAATTCTTTGTGGACGTAGCTCACAGCGAAGGCGGTCACCGAAAAGCCGTTGGCCAAATAGATCGGGGGCCTCAATCCAAAATTGCTGGCAAGACATGACCAAGATGCAAACCAAACAGCTAATATTACCCCCAGACGCCGTGTGTTGCCCAGACATTAACATTGAGAATGTCGTGCTGTCGAATATATGATAGGAGACATTGCAGAAAATACTGCGTATACGCAGTGTTTTCCAGTTTAGGATTCAAAGTTTTCAGAGCCTAGGTTTTAGGGTTTTAGGGTTTTAGGGTTTTAGGGTTTTAGGGTTTGGAGTTTTAGGGTTTGTGGTTTTAGGGTTTAGGATGGTTTAGGGTTTTAGGGTTTAGGGTTCGTCGTCTGGGAAATCTCAAAACACTGGCCCTGTGCAGGTGTTTGAGCATGTTGAAGGATAATGTTTTGAACATGTTTAAACGCCATTTGAACCTTCCGGGCAACACACAGCGCCTGGCCGCAATATTATTAGAAAACAAAACTGCCAAAGAATGTTCTGACCTTTGGGCAACATGTGGATAAGATGGAAAATGGTAGAAATACAGAAATACAGGTGTTAATGCCCAAATTGTGATTTCTCCACGGGAGAGTGTTTTGAAACACCGGAAGTTGAGGTGAAAGTACTGAACCATGCACATACCTGGACATGTTGTTGTTGCCGAGATGTTGCCGAGTGACTCCCCGCAAGGTTCCATCCCACAATTGTCTTCTGGTGACCATCCTTGCCGGTAGACTTCCAAAGTCGATCCTGCGTGCCAGATTTGGTGCACCATTGCAGGAGGCAAATCATCAACAAATTGGTCACATCCTGCCTGTGCAATAGAAGCGGCTCAGCAAACTTTCCATGATTTTCACCTCGGTTCTTGGTGGAACATGGTGAAACATGGTGAATTATGGTGAAATCGCACCAAGATCTGCTGGACACAGACTACACCTGCATCTGTGCAGAGATATGTGGAGCCTCGCGTTCCAACTGTTCTCTGATGGTCAGATCCTGGGTGAAGGCCAATTGCGAGGGTTGAAAAAAAAGTTGCACTCATTGAGTGGTATGGATCGGTATTGGTTGAGATGTTGAGAGTTGAGATGTTGATGTCCCCATTTTGGGTCGTGGAAACACCTGATTGAAACTACCATAGCCACTGCCAGTGGTGTAATGTCTACTTGGGGACTTCATCCGTGCCTTGTATTTCTCAAGGACTGCAGCGCTTCCAAAGCCGAAGTGGATCTGAGCCGGACAGTAAGACAAAATAAGGAATCCCGACTTTCAAACGCGCGTGCATGCGCGTGCGCAACCAAACTCTTCAAACAATCCATTTTTGAATTGTTTTCCGCATTTTTCCGCCCGTACTGTGCATGTTTGATTCTTTTCCTATGTTTTCCTCTGCGATCTAACGAGCCAACGAGCCATCCGAGCCATCCGAGCCGAGCCAGAGCCAGAGCCAGAGCACACCTCCATGTCCAGGGTCCTGATCTTGTCCCATTCATCTGGATTTGCCACCAGCCTCACAATTCAAATGGAGAAGGTGGTGAAACAGGCGCTGAGTTCCAAGCCATCATCCAGTAGTTGTTTTACTGCTTGTTATTTTTTGGGGGTCCCGGCTGCAAAGGGGACAGTGATTGAATGATTGTTTGTCATGAGTAGGGCCGGTCCATATTCGTCCATATCGGTCCATCTTCCCAAGTTCTTTTTCTAAACGCAAAACCGGGTAATGCCCGGTATGGCCCGAGCCGGAGGTCGCTTTGCGACACTGGCAGCAGATCGGTACAACTGTGTGGATGTCCCAAGTCGAGCTTGACAAAATGCCTACAAGATTCAACTTACCACATGGACATTTGATGTCTTTTACATCCTGAAATGATGGATGCTCTTCCGCTATTGATCAGAAAATCGGACGCTTTCGGGAACATCCTCCGTCAATGTCACTGTGGACAAAGTGCTTAGCAATCACTGGAAACTTTCGCTGTGTTTGCCGGTTCCCATGCCTCTTAACAAGAATTCAGATTCCATAGGGCGCGGTTAAAACAAGAGAATCATTTATACTTAGTGTAATAATGTGTAATAGGCTTTTGTTCGATGCGTAATCTTTACATTTCTTCGCTTCACCATGTGATTTGTTGGCAGCGGCACCGCCATCCTGCACCATATCTTTCAATCAAATGGTCGTCATCAAGACCTCTTTGGGGATGGGATGTTCGATACTTAAAGACTTTAAAGTCACCAAAATTGACATTTAGACTTTGGACCCTAATTTTTTGCCCAATTTTTCCTAATCTGCAGACATAGATCTGAAACCATTCAAAACCAGCGAGTTTCTGGGATCTCAAGCAACATCTTGTTCTTCCATCAATCTTTGTACAGCCTCTGCCACACTCCTGGCTTCAATCCTCTTGCGTCCGAAGCTCCCTCGAACTTCCTTGCGGCATGGCGTGGGGAAAAAGTTGGACCCGGATGCTATGCTATATGGATCATAGACTCCAAGGATCTCCAACGTTTCTACCTTGCAAACTTGATGCGAGAGAAGATTTACAAACAAAAAACTCAATCCGTGTTCGATGGGTATCCGATGGACAATATCAATGTATACTTCTATGTACTTCTATGTGCTTCTACGTACTTCTATTTTCTAATGCAGTTGATAACAAGGCGCTACCATGGTGCCACTTGTTCTCTGGGTTCTCTGGGTTCTCTGGGTTCCGAGCGAGTCGAACGGGTCGGTGGGCACTGGGTCCATCGAGGTATTCCTGGAGATCTGCGATAATGTCTTCCTGCACAAAGATCCGAATTGGAAGCGAACATTGGAGTTCAGCGCGGTCAAAAGATAAATGTAATATATGTTGAACTATGTTGAACTCCCTCATTGAATGGTGGTCATCGTCATGTTGCCAACCACGGTTTTCCAAATAACCCAATGGTTTGGACTGTGAGGATTTCTCGCCCAAGTTCCCTTCAACTGTGAGGTTCTTCAAGGGCTGGGCACAACTAGCAGAATATCAACTATGGCAGTTCTATCAAGCTCTATTGAAGTCCTATCAAGTTCTACCCAACTTATCCAACACATTTTCCTGTTGATCTTCATATTTCGTCATATTTCGTCATATCCCTTGGGGTTGGATCTCATCCCGCATCATCCGCATCTCATCCCATCGGTGGGCTGAGCCCGCTGAGCCCCCAGGCCACGCGCAAGACTTGGCTCCAGCGCGTGGGGTTCAGCTTCGCAAGACCTGCCTGAAACGATGTCATTTGAAGATCTTAAAAGGCACATGATAGCACTCAAAGGCATATCATTAGCATCATGGGTATCTTATGGTATCTTATGTATCTTGTGGTATCTTCATCCTATCTTCAATTTAATCTTCAATTTAATCTTCAACATCTTCATCAAATTATAATTGAGATTCATCATCACTGTTGTCATTAACAATCACTAATTATAAGCTACTATCAACCAGGATCAACCATAACAAACGGCCATCACTGCCATGGTCAGCATAAACATCCATTGTATCACAAAATTTCCTGACGTTGAGTGGCCCAAATGGATCGCCGAGTGCCGTGCTCCTATCACGCCACCGTAGCCGCGCCCGGCGTCTTGCCACATCCACCTATGGTCGTCTGATCAACGTCCAACTTGGAATGAAACCGCATTTTTCTTCAAAGTCATCGCCCTAAAATGAAGGATTTCGCAGTCGAATTATATTTAGCAAAGGCGATGTCCGGGAAAGTCCGCATCGGACTTGGAGCAAACGAGTCAAAAGCACGGTGCTCAATGCAAGCGGTATACCTTGCACACTTTTGGAGCGCCCTTCAAAGAAATGCCACTCCTTTCCAGTGGGTCATCCAAGAATACTTGTCCCATCTTGTCCCTTCCTTGACCCCGCAACATGGGATTTGGAGTTCTTCTGTGTTCTTCTGTGTTCTTCTGATATTTTGATCATCTTTGGGTCGACATGGGTCAACGATTGGTCGCACCTGACTTTCAGCTCACCATGTCGATGCGGCTCCTGCAAGCACGAGCACAGGTGTAGAGTGTAGACATGTTGGTGCCCATATGTGTCTAAACATTTACAAGAGACGCGCGCTATGTGCATCTCCCAAATCCAAGTCTCTCTCTCTCTCTCTTGCATCCTTCCCCCTGGTCCATCTCATCTTACTATGTTTCCTCCGACTTGCCCACTCCGAATCCAAGAAAAAAGGGCAAAACATGGCCAAAAACAACTGCATCGCTGCATCCGTTTGAAGCTCCTCCTCCTCATCCGAGCTCCTGTAGTGGTGTTCCGGTGAACTCTCAGCAGACTCCATCGGGTCCATCCGCAGGTTCCCCAGATAGGTCGACACCTCAAAGTCTCCCTGCGCCGCGATGCGCCACGAGTCCAGGGCGCTGCTTTGGAGCAACTCCTGGAAGATCATTGCCACAATGAAAATGTGTTCTTCCAAAGAATTCACCAAATACCTGCAACATGACTTCCTTAAGGCACCACCCAATCACGGAACCACATGGAATCCAGTGATTCCAGTGTTATACCGTGTTTAGCCGTGTTTGCTGGGCCTGCAGGAGGTGGAAGATCTGATCCCGTTGGTACGGAAAGAAGTGATGTACTTGGCACAGCAGTTGCAGCATGGGCAGCTTCGGTTCCAAGGTATCGATCTTCTTCAGCTCCTCCTGGTTGATGGGGAAAATATAAATATATATTTCAATGAAAAGCGGCTTTGACACATATGAATTCTTTAAGTTTTCAAAGTTCAAAAAGTCAGACACATGACAGAGGAATGGATGGAAATCTAATTTTGTTTCGTATTTTGTTTCCGTGATTTCACTTGAAACCAAGGGAATCCTTTGTTATCAATCGGCGTTCAGTTGTGGGATTACCATGGAAATTGGAAAAAACAGCTCCTGCTGCCATTGGACAAGTAGCCCCACGCCCTGTGCGAAGCGGCTAAGGGCATCAGCTGCTTCAACTTGGCATTCGAAGTGCATCTCCTGGGATTGAAGGAGATTTGGGGAGATTGATAGGGTTGGAAGATGGCTTGATGGTGATTTAATGGCTTGGTTTGATATGGTTTGATATTGTTTGATATGACTTCTAACAAAATTATATGCTAAGAAACCGTCAAATTTATTCAAATTTATGTAACATGTTTTTCCTGGATCAAACCCTACATGAGGATCCATCCGTCAGTGAGTTCAAGTAGGAGACGTCTGCAGTTTCCCGGAATCGATTTAAGGCGGACAGCCTATTTGGATGCCAAGAACTCTGGCGTCCGGTCAGCCAGCGAATGTTAGTCTCACATAACGATATCCCAGGATTGGTGTTTCAACATTGCTTAATGAGAGGAAACAACTCGATTTGGGTCAAACTAGCCGGTGTCTTGAACATGTTCCCTGAAACCTCCGCACACCGCATATTTCTTCGTGAAATCATGTCATCGATTTCAGGTCCTCACTTTGGCTGGCCATCCCTATTTCGTTGCTAGAACATCAAGTTCCCCATTGGAATCCCGTCGTTTGTTTCCCATGTAGTTGTTTCCCATGTTTTGTCTGCTGTGGCCTCCAATTCATGGAAGGCTAACAGTGCAGCACCTGCAGCTGAGCTGTCCGACCTGTCCGACCTCGCAGAACCCAAATCTGAGAGATACCTGGAGGGTGACCCATATCGTGAAATATGACTCATACCTTGAATCATTATGAATCATGATCTATCATGATCTTCATATGATCTTCATGTCTCACACATGCAATTGATGGATGATACATCTGTGATACATTGTCGACAACACGCCTCTCGGGCTTGGCATCTGAAACCTGTGCATGGGGCCCATGGGGCCGAGGAAAATGTAGCAGAAAACGTGTTCCATCCCTGAAACCGCCGTTTCAAGTCAATGGGAATCCGATGGACATCAAACCAACATTGGATCAAATGGGTGCTGGCAAAAAAACAGATGGTTTCGGGTGCAGCTTTTTGCACACTTATGCATATCCCCAATCCTGTCGACATAAGATTGCCTACTTATAATTTCACCAGAAGCCACTATGATGGTTGGTGGCTGCAACTTGCCGCAAGGAGAACAGAATTTTACTTATAGCCTGCAGACAGAGAGAGAGAGAGAGAGAGAGAGAGAGAGAGGGGGGGAGGGAGGGAGGGAGGGAGGGGAGGGGAGGGGTTTCATCCAAAAAATACTTTTTCGTTCATGTTCTCTCAAGGTTTTTTTCAAATGATGATTTCAAGATTTGTTCTTATTTCTTATTTATTTTCCGATATGTTTTTGTTTTTAAAATTTTGTTTTTGTTTTTTCCTTGTTATTTCTTTAATTTGTTTTTCGTTTTTTTCCATTTTTTCTTGCAAACTTTTTCATTTTTTTGTTTTTTTTAAATATTTTTTTTGTGGAGTGTGTTCCGTTTTTTGCCGTTTTTTCCGCTCTTAAAAGAAAAGGATTTAGTTTTGGAATGCGTGGATTGTTTTTGTTCAGTTGTTTTTTTGATATGTTTGGCTTTTTTTTGAGTATTTTTCAGTTGTTTTTCAAGGATAGCAACTTTTAGGAGTAGCCCTTTGAGAAGTATCCCAGGGCTCTTTAATGACAACAATCAATAAATCAAGTAGCACTAGTCCAGCCACCAAGAATCATGATGGCCCAACAATCAGATTCACCACCAACCATTCGGCATACGAATGGCATAAAAACCTACATAAGTAGCATCATATTTTTCTCACCCTGCATAGTCCAACTTTTTCGCTGTGCCTTGTCTGTCTCTGGTTTGGAGGGCGTATCCGGCAGCGGCTCATCCGGCAGCTGCTGTAAAACATCGCTCTCCTGTCACCGAGTGGGTGGCTGACCGAGTAACGAAACACCACGTTCAATGCAAACCATGTGCGCTGTATTGCAGGTTTGATCAGCTTTGTACATATTGTGTTGGATTGCAGCTTTGTATATGTTACACGTGTATGCTACAATGAGTTATAGATATGTCTCTCTCCATTGTAACTATAGCACACACACAGTCAGCATTTAAAAAAAAAGGTGTAGCCGGTAGCCATCTGTCTGGGTATCGAAGTTGCCACCAGGTCGACTTGACAGATTCCATACTCTGGGCCGTTGTCACCTCCATGTTTGTCGTTCAGAATGGTTGCTTCCACATGCAGTCTTGAGAAATTATCACAGCATATCAATTTGGCAAAGGAAATGCACGAGATCTTCTGGCCCAATCATCGTCTCACGTCGTCTCATTGTCCTTGGCGGCTTCTTGCCATTTCGAATCCTTCAGCAGGATGGAGACCACACTGCTGACCTGCCTGCGGTAAGATATGGTGAGATATAGATATAGCATGATATAGCTGGATGGTTGGCGGGGTTGATGGAGTTGGCATTTCATATCTAAAACAGTTGGTAACCTCTGATGGTTTTCTAAGTGCTTGGCTTCCATGATCTTGCAAGTTTCAGTGTTTGATCAATGTTGGCCGGAGTGGACCATATATTCATCAGGAAACTGCCTTGGTTGAATCAACGGCAAACAAGGCAAACACCTAAAAAAGTTGCAGTGAGAGCAACAAAAATCCACCGCCTCCTGTGGCTTCTCCGGTTCTGTGCAAAATCCACCAGGAAACCCAGGACCTCTCATGGATCAACTGATCAACTGAAACCAAATTCATCTGGTTTCCCAATGTTTCCCATATCCCAAAAGATCACACGATATATCACCATATCACATTGTGGAAGGATGAAAGGCTGCGCCTTCTGTTTCTGCTCCAACTCTTGCAAAAGTGAAAGTTCATGGCTGCCATCTGCACCTCAGCAGCTGGAAAAATTGACAATCGGAGCATTGTTATCACTGTTCCCTCTTGTAAGCGCCACAAAGAAATCAAATTTCAGAGTATCTTCACTGGGAAGACAGATGCTCTCAATGTTCCACGTCTCCCTTCTCTCTCTGTCTCTGAGATGTCGGTTAAGATCTGTCTGTGTCGAACATGGTCAAAATTATGTTGCTCCTTGGTCATCCCAATGGCATCCCAGGCAGTCAAACCCTGTCAGGTTGAGTTGCGGGTCACACCACGTCGAAACTGCTGAAATGCAGCAGCCGAATCATCGTCCCGGCCTGGACCCACCTAGACACGACAATTGAGAAGGTCTGGAAGGAAGGCAGCAAGTGAATTGTGAAACATGTAGAATGTTGCTACAACAGCCTTGGAAGAAAAGACATCACAACTCTCCGTGCCTCTGCATCTTGCTGTTTTTGCACCATCCCCATCCCTAGCCAATTTTGTGGATTCTTCTATTGTTCATGGTTACGGTAGATCCCCATCTATTGTGGCCGCAGCCGCATAGTTGAATAGTTGAATTCCGTTTGAAGTCCAACTTCCAATTTCCCATAATTTCCCCATCACATCCCCTCCATATCCCTCACCACGGAGATCCACGGAGTCCCTATGGGGCGTCAGGGCAGGGCGGCCTTCAGAATGGCCGCATGACCGTCATGGATCAATCGCTTCGTTTCTTCCAAGGCCACCTCCATTCCGGGGCCGAGGCCCGCACCGGCGCTGGCCGTGAACCAAATGGCTGGCAACGGGACAACGTAGCGGCATAGCGGCATAGCGCAACTGTTGTGGAAATTCTGAAAGTTGAGTTTCTCAAGTTGATGTCCGACTCCTTGAATATATTTGAATATGATATGCATATCTCAAATTTGAGGCTCCAACCATTCCAGGACATCCCATTCAGACCCTTCCACCTTGGTGCTTGAGGGGTCATGTCAAGAGAAACCCTTAGAGCTAGGCTGGATTCGGCTGGATCCCATGGAACCTGGGCACCGTGCATCGATTTTCAGATGAACGGACAACTTTGGGAAACCTTTCAGCTGTGCCTGGCCACCAGTTGATACTTACAAGATGCACCGCTGATGGCAGGTGGGCATGTGGGCAGGGCATGGCACACACATGATAACTGATAGCGCCTCTAGAGTATTGTATTTGCGGCCAGCCACCGTTACCTCCTCAAAATCCGACAAGGCATGGCAAGGCATCTGCAAGGCATCTGCAACTTCATTTTTTGGGGGATTTCATTCGGCTAGTGGCTATGGCAGCTCTGGCAGCTATGGCTTCATGACGCCGTCTAAAGCTACAGAAGCCCACAAACCCACAACAACTCCCGGCACGTCCTGCCCTGCAAGACATACCCGGAAGGAATCGTAGGCAGCGCCGTAACAAATGCCATCCCTGGGTCTGTGGCTGCCACTGGATCTCTTCAGGACCTTCAGGTCCCTCGAGTCATTGAGGCTCAAACAATTTGGGTTCACCCAAATGGTTCTTTGGACAAACCGTGTTGTTGGGCCTCAAGGCTTAAGCACAGAGCCACAATCTTGAGAAACTGAAGCTGGATGCATCCGATCATGGTATCTCAAGCTGGAGCACCAACAAAAAGAACAATCAACTGGAGTCGTGACTGGAATGAAGCGCTGGCCATTGACTAGCCATTCAGCCATCGCATCAATTCGACCCAGCCACGCTGTCTTGGAGATGGGTGGTGATCTCTCTGGTGGAATGAAACCTCGGCAATTGGCCAAACACATCAACATTCCATAACATTCCGAAGTTCTTTTTCCGGTGTTTCCATTCCTTCATTTCCTTCCCACCTTCTGGCAATATCCGATGGGAAAATTGGGAAAGCCATCATTTCAATTCATTTCCATCATCTCGAGATATCTCTAGGATCCGCTGATCTGAAGCTCTGGGCAGTCGTAGAGCTTCACGGGGATCTTGAATTTTTGTGTGACCAGCTCGCCCCAAATGTCACGCTCTTCGATGCCGAAGGATAAGCCAATGATGCCATAGCCATGGCTACCATCAAAGGCCTTCATACACCAAGTCTGATCACCTCAGATCATCTCAGATCTCCTTTCACGATATCAATCAGCTCACCACAATCGCCAGTATCGCAGGTCGGTGCATCTAGATCTGATCTGTCGCTACACATGTTATATACATGTCTCTACCATTGATGGGCGTACTCCACTCACATATTTTACGATGGATGGATAGCTGGAGTGATGTGGCGCTGACAGCTGCTTGGCCCAGTCACCAAGCAAATAGAAACTTCCGCAGCGCCGCTCTGTGAGCTCAATGGGAGGCCTTGGAACTCAGGGAGTCAAGGAAAGTCTTTACGCATGTGAAGTCAAATAGTCAAATAGTCACATGTGTACCAAATGCAATGAGCGTTCTTTTACTTTTCTGGCACTGCTGTCACCTCCAAAGTGGCTGAAAGTGTAGCTCATTGCATTTGAATTTATCCAAGAAATTCCGAAATCAGGTCCCGGTGCTTTGAGGCTCTCACGTCACAGCCGCCAATGTACGCTGCCCCAGGTGGGTTTTCCACTCAGTGACTCCTGGCAGCAACCAATTACTATACTAAACAATGCTAAACATCTCACTAGGAACATCTAGAAACATCTAGAAACATCTAGAAACACAGATTTCATCAGATTTCATCAGATTTCTTGGAATTTCTTGGATCTATCTAGTTGGGGATGGGCTCACACACACCTATCAGCCCAGCCCTGTCCCACACTTCAGCCCTATCATCCACCAAGCACACGTGCCATCGAAATACGCCAGGCCTTTATACGGCCAGAAAGACGGTGGCGGAATACATGGCTTCCCAGGTCGTGAACCTGACACCGAAGCACCGGTGAAAAGTAATGGATTGATGTAAGCCATATGTAAGCCATGTAAGCGATTAGTTTTGAACATTTTTTTTTTGTTTTTCAGGCTGGCTATTTGATTTGTGGCTTCGCACCCATCCAAGTAGGCTTCTGGATTGGGAAGATGGCAACATGACAGCATGCATATGCATGCATGCCTATGGCAGTCGCGTTTTGCGACTCAGGTTGCCTAAAAAAACATCACTCTTTCAAGATCTTTTCAGGTATTCTTAGACAAGCTCTGTTTGAAAGTGTTGTAACATATCTCTGTAAGACTGTTTGTTTGGGCTAGATGGGAACCACATTGAAACTGAACATGGCCCGTCATGGCCCTTTGGTTTCTGACTTGATATCCAAGGGGCTTTGCGACCTACCCTCGCCATAGTAAGAACAAGGCTCCTGGCAGCAGCTGGGATCGCAAGCTGCAATGGCTGGGTGTCTAATGATCCCAGGTAGCTTTTGACATGTGACAACAAAGACTGTCATGCAAATGTCCCTATGGCACTCATCCCAACTTGGCGCTCAAAGACAAATTGATAAACATGACAAGAATTGACAAGAGATAAACATGATGAAACATGATGACAAGAATTGACAAGAATTTTGAAGAGATCAATTTGGATCGAACTTCGTCTTCCTGGATCCAAATGATCCAAATGATCCAAATTCGATATCGTTCGATATCGTTCGATATCGTTCGATATCGTTCGATATCGCCTGCCTTCCCTCCATCTCTGTCCATCGTCCTGTTGTGGCACCGGGATCAGCGGGTTGCCCATGGGTTTCTTGGCTTTTGGCTCCTGGCTGGGACACGTTGTCTACACGTTGTGCTGAGACACGGCAGCTTGAGCTACGGTTGGAAACAGAACACATCAGAACACCAGTTCGACCAGTTCTATTTTTTTTTCACTTTTAGACTTCTTTTAGACTTCTTCACCTACAGTGTGAAAGTGTGAACAATTCAAAGATTGGATATTGGATTCTCACGACACGATCATGCATGCAACCTGTCAAAGATTCCAACCGAAACTCGCTGAATCTTTGGGGTTGCAAAACTAAGTCATCCGGCACTGGCCCACCAGCAAAAGAAATCTTGCAGCTGCACTCAGAGACTCAGCTCATTTTTCGCTGTTGCCTTTGGCAGAATCAGCTGGAGCTGAAACTTCAAGCCTAGCAGCATTGGATGAATCAATGTGTGTAAGATTCGGTGGGCAACAAACAAAATTAAGTTGACTCATGGTGATCCACGCCAAGCGCAAAGTGGGATGGCAATTGCGACTTGTGATTGCTTGTGATTGCTTGTGATGGCTTGTGATTGCTTGTGATTGCTTGTCATTGTGCTATGTTGAATTGCGGAATTGCAGAATAGCATCAAACCAAGACTTTCCCCATCATTCCCGTTAATTACAATGATTCATCACTCTAGCCCAAATATCTTGAAATATCTTGAAATCCGCCCACACCGCTTTGGCGGTGAAGGCGTGCTTATTGGGGGGCAACAGCAACACTAAATGCTCAATGATATTTGTTAATATAGCAGTCGCTATATCAGCTTTAGCTGGGGGGCCCAAAAACGGTTTCGCACCGAGACCAGAATACGGTGGTGTTTTCGACATTTTTCGAGGATTTTTGGGTGTCTGAGCGCAAGAGGGTATTGAAATGGAATTTTGGGTCATTTTGGTAGCTTTCCGGCAATGGAAAAACGGCCAAAAATGAAAAAAACATTGTACATAGCAAGATTTTGCAGGGTTTTGGATGCCAGAGCATTGAAAACACTGCAAAAACAAGTGTTTTGGACTGACGTTATAGCAAAAAACGTGTAAATTACCGTATGCTTGACTGGAAACATTACAAAAACACTGTCAAAAGCAATGTTTTGGAAGGATTTACTGCCTTTATTGCAAAAAACGTGTAAATTACCGTCTGTTTGACTGGAAACATTGGAAAAACACTGTCAAAAAAATGTTTTGGAAGGATTTCTTATATATATATATATATGTTGGAGTTGGCTACCGGCATTGGCACATGGAAAAATTGAAGAAAACACTGTAAATAGCGGTATTTTCAACGGTTGGGGAGATAAGGGAATTGGAAGCATTGTCGAACATGATGTTTTCGACCGGTTTTATGGCGACAAAAGTGTAAAGTACCGTGCTTTGAAGGAAACCATTGCAAAAACATGGAAACACATTCAAAGAACACGGGATTTGGGGGACTATCTAGGCGTCGTTGTCTAGCTATTTGAAATTCCGCAGCTTGGAGAGCCTCCAAGGGAGGGAAAAGTGAAAATTCCATAGCTTGGGAAGCTGTCACGCCGGGGAAAAGTGAAAATTCCCTAGCTTGGGGAGCCCCCACGGGGGGGAAAAGTGAAAATTCCCTAGCTTGGGGAGCCCCCATGGGGGGGAAGAGTGAAAATTCCCTAGCTTGGGGAGCCCCCACGGGGGGAAAAGTGAAAATTCCCTAGCTTGGGGAGCCCCCACGGGGGGAAAAGTGAAAATTCCCTAGCTTGGGGAGCCCCCACGGGCTCCAAAGGGTGAAAATTCCCTAGCTTGGGGAGCCCCCACGGGGGGGAAAAGTGAAAATTCCCTAGCCCGGGGAGCCCCCACGGGGGGGAAAAGTGAAAATTCCCCAGCTTGGGGAGCCCCCACGGGGGGGAAAAGTGAAAATTCCCTAGCTTGGGGAGCCCCCGAAAGTGAAAATTCTTAGCTTGGGGAGCCCCCACGGGGGAAAACCACCCTTAGCCCCTCTCACGGACCGAAATAAACCTGCGGTGTGGGCGGCCACCCCACGCGAAGCGGGGTGAATATTTTGAAATATCTTATCCATCATTGAATCCCAAAAAATTATCAATTTTATTTCAAAATGGTCAAAATTTGACAAATTTCGGCGTGTCATCCTGTGTCACCTCCGTGTCACCTCCGTGTCTCACCTCGTCGTCTTAGACGGCGCCGGTGCGGCTGCGCGCGGCGTAGGTCGTGGCCTCCGTGGCGCGGTGCTCGCGCAGCAGCGACACGATCTGCTCGCGGCCCCGCTGCGTGTAGTCCTCGCGTGGCGTTGGCAACGCATCGATTGATGGATTTTGATGCCAAATCGATGCCAAATCGATGCGAAGTCGATGCGAAATCGATGCGAAGTATGGAAACTCCATTGAGTCCAATGTGAGTCCAATGTGAGTCCAATGTGAGAAATTGTGAAATTCACGATTTCCGAACTCACTGGAAATTGAAACTTCAAAATCCTGAAATAATTCAGAAAGATCTAAATAAACTGAAAAGAAACTGCTGGAGATTCAAAATGGATGATGTAAGCATATGTAAGCATATGTAAGCTTCATAGATTTTGTTGCCTTTGTTGCCGTGATTCTCACAGAGAGAGGATATAGAGGATATGAATGTCTTTGGATGCTTCTGTTTAACCTGTTTGGATGCAACATGTTATAGGGAAAACTACGCATTTACATCCCAACCCCCCCGAATTCGTCCTGATCACTGGGCGAAAGTGCCACACCCAGAGGTGTCCGGCCCTGGCTGTCGATGGCATTGCAGTTGCAGTCCCGGAAATCCAACAAAGCTTTGGCGATGTTCACATGGCCCATCAAAGCAGCAATATGCCTGGGGCGTTCATGGACGGTTATGGCCATCAAGGGGCTGGTTTGAAGATTCTAACAAGAGATTTCTTTTAGCAAAACTTGACCAGAATTAGGAGGAAATTGTAAGCCATAATAACAGGTAAAGCCGCAACCTTCTCCGCTAATGTTTAACCATGTCCAAAAACAATCAAAAACATGGAAATACCGAGGGCGACCGAGGGAGCATTGGCTTTTGTGGAGGTGACTAACCGAGCCTTGATGGGGTTGGAAATCTTGGCGGTGTATCAGGCAGGATCGAAATCTTCATGTTGATGAAATTTGATGTACATGTCCCATTTGAAACGATCACAGGCAACCTAGGAGTCTGCATATTACTACTGGGGGAAGACCCATATAATCCATATAGGGATGCGGAGAAGCCTGAAGGTCGCCGAGCAGCAGTGGCGTCCTCTCAAATTCATCTTTGATATTGGGATCTTCCACAGCATTCAGCCACATCTCAAACTCATCGTCGTTGCCAATCCTGAGCTGAAAACAGGAGCTGTACCACATATATGGGCCCGTGCTGCCAGATTTCGCCATGGAAATTGTTTGGTAGTGTTTTGCCGCTGTTTTGGCATCCCAATCCTAAACAACAAGCTCTAACATCCATAGCTATCATAGCTATCATAGCCATCATAGCCCATAGAATCCCACAGGTGCCATAGCTGTTGGCCAAGTCGATCCAAGTCGGCTAAGTCACTCAGCGAAGTGGAACATCTTCAGTCGTCCCGTGTGGTAAAAGGCCTGCATCTTGGCTGCGTCCGACATGACTCCGCTGGCTCCAGTGGTGTGGCAACTGCAGTTGCGTGTTGAACCCCAAAGCTGCGACGGAAATCTGCACGACAAGGAACCACAAGGAACCACCAAGCTTCTGGTCTGGTGAAGTACCACATTGATAAATTCAAATGGTTGGTTCTTTTATTTTGCACATCACATGTTCGTTTTTCTTACCCAATCTTACCTCCATACTCACTTGTCTTTCTGGGTTAAGAATGGTTAAGACATGTTGAGACACAAGGTGAAACCCGAAAAATCGCCAGGTTCTGCTGCCAGGACCGTCCAGGACCGTCCGGACCCCCTCCTCTTTGGCCAACTCGGCTGGGTCGCCTGCACGAAATCTGAGGGCGTCGCGACCTGGGAAGCTGAAACTGACAGAAGAACTGGTGACCCAAAGATGTAAGGATCGACATAAACAGCGATGCCTAATAGAAACTAGAAACTATAACATACTATTTATATAACTACAATTATGAACATACACACGCACACATGTAAAAGAAGGAGCCAACTGGTGACTTGAATGTTGCTGATCACGATGAAAATCAGGATAATGAACAGCCGATGGGTGATTTCAACAATACATTTCAAGAACATTCCAAATAGTGCATATTCAAAGCATGTCTTTTTATCACACCTGCAAGGTCCGGCCTACTTCGCATTCCCTGTGGTTGATGAGCTCCGTTCCCACAGGTGGCTTATTGCTACCCCCATAGGGATGAATGCAGTACCTGGGCAACTGCCAACGGGAAAAAACGAAGCTGAAATTCTTAAACGAAGCTTAGCCTGTTACAGGGCTTTCCATTAAAAGCGATTGCTCAAATAATTCCATATGGATATACAATCATTGGTTTGGTTCCAGCGCGTCAATGGATAAAAAACATGGCATTTTTAAGATTCCAAATTGGTAAATCGAAACGACGAAAGACGACACCTAGGCACCTACCATAACATGTCTTTTGATGCTGTCAACAGCCAAAAAGTAAACAGCATCGAAGCGGATGAAATTCTATGGCGCACTCTACGGGGCTGTCCACTGACTGGATCACGAAGCCAGGGAGAAGTTTGTCTTCCGCCATCTTTCGATATTTGAAGTGGTGCCTGGCAGGATTGAAACCTCATTCCCACATCATTAAAAATGCAATTTTTTAGGCCATCATTTGGAGATATTCTCCAACCCATGTAGCAAGAAGGGGGAACTTCGAGGCAAGATCTTTTCAATGGAAACCCTTCAGAGACTCAGCTATGCCAAAAAAAGCCAATGCTTCCTCTCATAGTCCACTTCTTCAATTTCTGCATGGAATGAGAGATGTAGCATACACGCCCACACGTCCACACTTTGGGTGTTAAACGCTGTACAAAATGCATTGCAGTGGCATTGCAGTGGCATTGCAGTGGCATTGCAGTGCACCAAGATGCACCAAGTGTGGTGAAAAGCGAAAAGCGCCTGCTGGCGGTGCAGTCCGCGGGGAAGGCGATCCGAGGCTCATTGGACGCGTCCGGGCCGTCCTCGGCGTGGCCGCATTGCCGGCCTGGCGGCAGGCGCACCGGCAGCAACGGAAACACAACGGACATCCAAGGGGCAATAAACAAATAAAAGAAGCATAATGGAGCTTGATCATGCGTGATCAGTCTTATCATGATTTATCTGATTGAAATGGTTGAACCAAAGCTTTTATCTGGACTTGAGATTGAAGATTTTGTGTATATATATATAATTATATATATATATCTTATATATCTGAAATCATAATCCGGGAATAATGATAGGCATCTGGCGATGAAGATCAAAATCATGAAGCATGGCATCCGCCTATATTAACATCAACTATATTAACATGAAACAAATCCAACATCAACTGTAACATGAAAAAAACAACCAGTGGGGATGATTTTCAACGACTTGAACCGTCCAAGCATCTGTGAAAAACTCTGATTCGTTGCCGAGAATTTATGACAATAAGATGATGGAAAACCGCAGAATGCCGAATACCCATGAAAACCCTCAAGAAACAAGTTGACCAAAATGGTATGAGTTGAAATCTGCAGCCTTTTGGCCCTCAGGTGGACAGATATGTCAAGATATGTCATGCTTTCAAGTGGGAAGATGACAAAGCATTGGGATCTTGGGGTATCCGATGGTATCCAGTATCCCCATTTCGGGACGAATCTGGTGAAAAAGAATGAAAAAGAACTTCAATGGCCAACAGGCGACCGCAAAGCAGCCCTGCCTAGCTGAAAGCGAAAAGCATCGCCGGATGGCTCGAACTGGATGTTCTTGGCCTGCAATCACTGCAGCCACTGGATCCAGCCACAATGACATGGACATGCCAGGTGTATATGCCAATAGTGACAGTAACTCTCCTTCGTGTCACATACCGGTCCATACTTCAATCCGTAATTGTTCCATCCATCTCGCAGCTCAATCCATACCTCAACCCCTCAAAAATCCGAGATCATGTGAGATCATGTGAGATCATGTGAGATCATGGATCTGAGATTCCAACCGGGTCATCTTCACAGTCTTGCAACATCAACACCGTGGAATCCTCTCCTGTGACCTCATCCTGCGCTGTCACCTGGCATATGCGACAACATGCGACAACATGCGACAACATGCGACAACAGCACATCTGGTCGCCACATCTGGTGTCTCAAATTGAGATCCCAACGCAAAGGCCACTGATGTGAACCAAGGTGTTGCTGGATAATGTGGATGCGGGCTGAGCTTCGGAAGTCTCCTTGCAAACATTCAAATTCAACCATGATAGACATGATTTGATGCACATGCGTACAAAAAACACATTTTGTGAGACATGGTGGTTGGATGTGATTGGTGTTGGGGCAGAAACATGGCAGTCCTGCATCCGCGCAACCACAGAATCCTCTTTGACCCCCAGAAACGTGGTTTGAGCCTCTGAAGTCTGGAAATACCGCGACTCTCCTGGCTGGTCAGAGGACCGGTCAAAATCACCGAACTCTTCGGGATATCACCATCCAACGGGGCTGTTTAACACTCCCCAAACGAGGACACGCACCCCAGAAGATGTCTAAACGTCGCAAGCTGAAAATCAACTGCACGCCAACCTCTCTATGGTTCCAATATCTTCATGTGGACACTTTGGGAACCTGGAAATGTGTGGTTTCGGTTTTTCACCAGCGGGCCTTGGCAGTCGCCTAACACCAACCGGGTGCCATCGCTGGGCTTGGAGTCCGCATCAATTCCCTCTGGGGCTAAGCACTCCCTGGGCAGCTGAGTTTCTCCCACTGCATCTCCATGCTGTCTTGAACCATGCTGTGTGCATCCATGAGTATCCAATCATATCCAATCTATCAACATGTATCAAGATGTAAAGTATTGTAAGGTAACTTATCCATCCATCATGTCATCTATTCACCACTGATTCTTCCTGTTATTTTCGGATCCCAAAATTTGAGGTGCCCACTCTGAATCTACGGGGCGCAGCAGAAAGAGGTCCGTGCCCACGGTGACTTTGCGGTACGAAGCCTCCCGCCTAGGTTATGGCGGTGATGGGCGAATTGAATGGGATTCCATGGGTACTCATGGGTTCCCATGCTGATATAATTATACAGATTCAATCATGGCGATAATGTGGGCATCACCATTGTCGTACTGAATAAATAGATGGAGATGCAATGCTCAGACATGATATATCATTCTTAATTTCACCAATGAAATAGATAAATAGATAAAGAATTGACTGCAAATTCTGCACTGGCATCTCAGATGTGGATCTGCATTCTGCTGAGCATTTAGTACGCGTTTTCCATCCACTCATCTGCCGACTACCATGCGTACAGACCACGACTATGCACTATCAGAAGTCACTATCATTTACATTCATTTTCATTCATTCGCTACACTCCCACCTCTCAAATGTATCACGACTACCCATTCCACAGCATCTGCAGCCTTCTTCCCCAGAAATGCTGCCCGACAACCCCCCCTTACAAGCAAGGACGACTTAACAAAAAACAATCTTTTACTTCTACTCTCTCCAGATATGGCTTTGTCTGAAAATCGGGCACCCTATTCCATCATACTGCATCCAATGGTTTGTGAATCCTTTGCATACCCATCAATATTGCGGTATCTTGGGGCATGCCTCATGTATAGACAAGCCATACTCCTCAATTTCAGCTGCTTAAATCACCATGTTTGGTGATGTGGTAAACATTGGTAAACCCAATGCCAAACAACCCCAATGTTACCATAGGACCATAGGTGCCAGAAACATCCAGAAACCATGAACATCCATGGTTTCTGGGTCAAATATGGTCAAATCACATCCCCAAATTCCCCAAGGATCTTCCAAGGCGCTGATTGCAGGGCACCGCGCTGACCGGCACCGCAATCTGCTTTCCCTCCGGCACGGCGCAGGCACTGCCCACGTGCAACTGGACCTCGTCCCCTACGGAGATGTGGACCACGTTGTCCATGACGCCGCAGTCCGAAAGGACCAACCTGGCAGGGATGTGGACATCTACAGGGTCTACATGCATGAAACTGTGAAGACTGTTTTCATATATTTTCTCCGTCTATTTATCCTATAAAGTATGTAAAGAGATGTAAAGAGTATATGGAATGTGCAAATGTGAATGAATGCAAACCCTGTGAGGTCACAGCTTGGCGTGAGCTGTGAGCCAGTAGCGGTTTGCATCTGCAAATGCCGGCATTGCGAGGCCAAATTTCAAGAGTTGAGTAGGGCCGAGGTGCCAAGAAGCTCCCTCCAGCGCTGGCCGGACCTCATGGCCAAAATATGTCAAAAATCCATTCAGCCATGAGGTGATAGACATCAGATGACATCAGATGACATCAGTCACATGTCGTTCAATGTGACTTGAACGACTTGAACCACCTAGCATTCAACATGAAACTGCTGATAACTGCTACCATGGCCAGAGACAGCTTCCATGTCACACCATCAGCATGTCAGCGCGCTCTTGACTCCATAGGCTTCAAAATTCAATCACCCAGGGCAATCCTGTGGAACATTGTGAAACTGGTGACATTTTCAACCCCAACTGGCCCAACTATCCCAGCTCTCAAAAGTCAACTGGCTCAGGTCCACGCGCACAGTCCATTGCTATGCTTCAACACTCGCCTCTGCACCTTGGACGACCTCAGCAAGTCGAAAGATGTTGAAAGATGTTGAAAGGGCTGGAAGATAATACATGATAATCCATGATAATACTGAAATTATGCCAAGCATATCCATGAACTTTTAGCTGTGCCTTGGACCGTAGATCACTGCCCATACCACGAAGCAGCTAAGCACGCTAAGCACTGCTAAGCACCGTACCCTGTCGGCGGCAAGGTTGGCAGCATTTGTAGCGGCATCGGCACCTGACAAGGCCCCAACTGACAGACTTGACAGGTTTAGCATGAGCTTTGCTCATCTTTGCTCTATCCTCATCTCATGGAGGGCTACAGGTGTTGGTAGATTTGTCATGTGCACTATGCTCTCTACTGAGGTATGTGACATATATGTGCTTGTTAACTTTCAATATGTTCTCAGTTTATCTAATGATCGACTTTCCAAGCATTATAAATGTCCATAAGCAATCACGCTTTGACATGTCGTGCAATCCCGGTAGACTTAACATAATGAATTTAGCGCAGCTCTTTTCCAAGCTGCAGTATGCTGCAGTTGCCAAAGTAGGGCGTCATCGACAGAAAACCCTTCCGATCCAAGTCAGCGGAGCGCTGGCGTAAGAGTCGCACATCCTCCGGTTGGATGATTCCTGTAGTTCCAGCCATCTGGGCCATCTCACCAACTTTTCCAGGCATTCTTCCAGCATTTTCAGCGATTAGTTGACGTTGAAGAGGTTGAAGAGGTTTGTCGGGGAGGGCGATGCAGTTTGGGCTTAATCCGCTGTGACTCATGGCTTTGATAGTCTCCAGTGGTCGATGTGGACAGGGCACGGGGCGATCCTTGGCTAAGCAGCGCTGCAGGGGATGGATGGCCGACCGGGGCAGCAGGCCATTCGCCTGTTGCAGGGGACCCACAGCTGGCACGAAACAGGAAGCATCGGAAGCATCACAGATGCGGTGAATGTAGACATACTCCGGGCCAGAGATGTAGGAAGTGATGTCTAACATCATGTAGGCAGGTCGCATCCGTACGCAATATAACAAATCTTTCCGTGTTTGTTGCTGCATCCCAGAGGCTTCGGATGCAGATTGTTTGGTCCAACAGCGGTCCCAGCCCTTCTGCAACAGCTCCAGTTCAATGGCTCGGCCCAAGAAATGCCACTGATCTTCCGATGTCCCAACCAGTCCCACCATCAGATCGATATCCCGTTCCACCACATCTACACCATTCACCAGTTCACCCGAACGAGCACCATGTCGCATCAGGGCGATTAAGGTACCACGACATGGCCACCATTCCGACAGGGTCCCATGTTGGACAGATAAAGTGTCCAGGACATCCGCCACTTCGTTGAAAGCTTCGTGATATAACCTGCTTGGTGATTGAGCAATCCCCCAAAAAAGTGATCGTCATGCAACTTCTCCGGGGCAATGAACATGGGCTTCATGATCCCTTTCTCCTCCATTTGTGGGGCTGAAAAAGCGAAAACAAATCGCAAACAATACTTACATGAAACCACCGGCTCGCAACTCATCCGAAATTTCGCCAGGGCTTTCCATGATTTCCCAGGTTTCCTCGGAATCATAGACATCTTGCCACAACAGGTCGTAGTAACGTTGCACGCGCCGCCAGCCAACACGCAAGGGCCAAAGGTCGTCCACAGTCTCTCCGTCCTGCGAGTAAAGTTGTAAGAACGACGCAGCTTCTATTTTCTCAAGGCCCTCGCGTGACACCAAGTTCAAAAACATGCAAATGAAAAACATGAAAAACCGATGGCAATCTGCACAATGCCCAAAAAAACATCAATAGATACATTAATATACATTATATCCACGTTGCATGATGTTAATTTCGAAAATAACGGCAGGGCCCCCTCCACAGTTGGCCTGATCCTGATCCAGGTGTTGGTGCATCCACTGTTGCAAGGCATTGAACTCCAAGTTCAAGGCGCTGGCTTCGCTGAACAACACGGCGTGGTTATTGGAGGACTCCACGGAAAAACTGTAGATCTGAACCATGAAGCGTTCACTTTGCCTGAAAAAGTGCGCTTGGATTCCGGATGATTCTGGATTGGGGGCAAAAAGGGTTTTAAGCCCACGGGAACTCAATGGAACTCAGCTCAAGAAACCCCAGGAAAATGCCAAAGAACACCCGTTTTGGGGATGGAAACATCAACCAATGGCAAGGCCGTCCATCAAACCACCGATTAGTGTTGCCTTTTGACCCCAGGACGCCAGACCTACTGGATGAGTCTCTAGCAGCAAAAAAAATGTCTAAATCTGTCTGACCTTAGATACCTCTTGCCGAAGATGACACGTTCTTAGCTGAGCATGTCACTCCCAAATTCATGCCACGATATCCAGATATAAAACTCTAATCCAAGGTTCCCCATCACATTACCATCGCATATCTCTAGCACCTAAATCACTATGTTTATCTATATGTTTGTGGGATTTGAACCCATCTCAAGCACCTACCCAAAATGGGGGAACCCAATGACCGAATGACCATAGAATGACAATGACTGCCCAGTTGCAACAACATTGCCTGTAGTACTGCAGGCGGACACACCGCTGCCACTTGGCGTTTTCTCTCAAGGATGGCTTCAATCCATTGGTAGCCTTGGAGTTGAAAAGTTTGGGGGATGGCTTTATCGTTGCTCAGAGAGGGCCCGAAACTATGGCCCAATCAAAAACTCCAAAAGCATTCTCAGTAGCCAATCAAAAACTCATCTTGATCAACTAATATCAACTAATATCTGCAGGTAACTGGAAAGCAGGGGGACGCCAGTGCCGTAAAACTCCAGAGTGCTGAGACGGAAGTCTTCCAAGGACACGTGGCCATCGGAGGCCATCTGAAATCCCGTGCTGGCACAGCCTTGCTGCAGCCCAAGGAGGTTGGAAAACTTGGCGTCACCTGGGTCACATGATGTCACATGGATCATGAATATTGATGCACAATGCAGATGAATCCGAACAAAAAAAGGAGGGCCCATGTTTCCCCAAATCCGGTAATCAGCATTGGAAACATTGGTAAAGCTCTCTTTCTCTAAACTCTAAACCCGTTCTTGATGTTGAAAATGGCTCCGTACCCTGATTCACACCCAACCTGGGATCACGCCATGAACTTTCTCAGGGGGCAACTGTACCTCCGAATATCGCCGTGGGGGAGAAGGCGACTGAGCAACGGCCAGCCAAGCAAGCGCAGCAGTGGACAATGCTCCACCCATGGCATGATTCTCTGTGGGTATGGGAGGGGCTAAAAGGGCCTGTAAGCAACCTGAACATGTTCAAACATGTTCAAACGAGGTATTTTCTCCCCTCTACATCAGTTTTCGGGATTGAAATTGGCATGGTGTTGAGCCAGCATCCACTTGAAAAATGTCATGATGTTGGCGAAGTGAGGCCACTTTTGGAATTGCCAAGGTTACTCTTTGACGTTGGAGGTTGACAAAGAGCTTGTGCCGAAAGAACAAGGGCCCCTGCGTGGCTAAGCGACTCAGTACGTTCTACCTATAGTGCTTCGTTAAACATGGCTTTCTTTCTACATTGACCCCTGACAAAACTATCGCATCCAGCGATCTTGTGGTCACAGCCCTGCTGTGCAAAGCATGAAACCCTTACAATCTTTCCTGCACAAAATGTGCAGGAAAGCACCCCCGAGTTCGCCGCGTTCGCCTTCTCTCCAACAGGCCCATCACTCCACCTCGGCCCAAGTCCGCAAAATTGGACGCTTCAAGTATTGACTTTCGTATTGTCCCGACTTTCCCATGAAATTCATCAAACATGATAGGTATGATGAGCAGTTCCCACCAAAATATACCAAAATCATCCAAAATCAACGTGCCAAAGCACTACTGTAGGTTTTTCAGGTTTTCAACGGTCGCCCCTTGTCATCACTATGCCGCATTTCGGCAGTTTTGGGCCCGTGGCGACAGATTTCGGAATAGACTCACCACTCCGGCTGTGACCTTAGTCGCCAGAGGCATGTCGCCCCCGGCCGCCCTGGAAAGGTCTGGAAAGCCCTGGAAATCGCCACAGTCCCAGGGCCCCAGCCGCAGCGGACAACAAGAAACGTGCAGCGAAATTCCATGCACCTCCTGGCAAAGTGATGAGACTCTACTAGTGACTAGTGACTAATGACTAATTAGTGACTAATTAGTGACTAATTAGTGACTAATTAGTGACTATAGTCATGGCTTTCTCTGTTTGGTTTCATCCCTCCTGAAACGTACGAAAGCCATGGGCCATGGGAGTCATCATTTGAAGGAAAAACTTTGAAACACCGAGCCAGTGACGAAATGAACAGTGTGACTTGTGAAGTCACAGGGTCTCTCCTCCCGCATCGCCATACTTCTTTTTCCCCATGCGAGAAATCATGAATTTCGATGAATTTCGATGAATTCTGTACCATTGTACCATTGATGCGTGCATGGCTGCATGGTGTGTTGGGGCATGGGTTGATACGGGCTGCATGTGATCAAGGGGAAAAGAAGGGGGTGGAACGGTTTCAAGTTCGGATGGGAAAATCATATCTTTCAACGCCATATGCAACAATATGCAACAATTTCACACCACATTTCTGCAAGAAGTTTCCGTTGATTCATATTGCTTCTTGTTCAACTGGATGTTCATCATTAGCTCAAGCCACACCATCAGGCGACGGTTTGGTCATCAAACTTCCCACATGCCAAAACATTGGACAACTTGGACAAGCCATTGCATGATATTGCATGCTTCAACTTGCATCCCAATTGACTGGATATGACTCGTGACTTGACTGGTTTCGGGTGGCTTGGATTCCTGCATTCATGCACTGGTTCGGGAACCCACTGGCCTCCCCTCAAAAAAGAACCCGATTTGGAAATGGAAACCGCATCAATTTCCAAAGTTTCGCCATGCATGGCCATGCAACAGCATCTTCAATTTTCATATGCAACAAACCATGGAAACATAAGGAAACCTGCCAAAGCAGCAGAAAATAGACCACATAGCCCACCTTTTCTCCGTCGCTTTAGACGCTCAGAATGATTACGACGACTCCAAGACCATATGCTGCAGCCACGACCCATCTTCGATGCTTCAGCCACTGTGGCAGATCAGTCCAGAACCTGTAGATGTGGAGCAAATGCCCAACAAAGGCGGCGAGTTTCAGTCACAGGGAAAAACACGCCAAAACATATCAAGTTGGGTCACAACAGCACCACACCATGGTCACCACCCCAATAATCGCAAGAAGATCTTGGGCCATTGAGATTGTTCCGTCTCGTGACTCCCCGGTCCGCGAAGGAAAACACGAACAAACCTGTCCAAACCATCAATCTCTTCGTCAGCTTCCAAACTTGGAGCAAAAGTCCAGGTGTTTTTTTACACATGTTTTGCAACAAATCGACCATATATCGACCATATATCGATCATTGCATTCCCAAGGAATCAGCACCGGAGAGGTTTCCAAGGTTTCCCACAATGCATCCACGGAGCTTGGAGAAAATGGCGGTGAGGCCGCCAAAAGCGATCTCAGCTGTGGCCGATGTCGCCGATATCATGGGAATGAGTTCATTTACAGTTCATAAATATGGATAGACTGGATAGACCGTAGAATCCGATAGACCTAAGTAATGTAGTCATATACCGACATATACCTGATGTAATATATTTGTATATATATATATACGTTCAAATATGATGTTTTGCCTGGTGTGGGATCAAAGATTGGGATAGTGTTTGAAGGCTCCGGGGTAGAAGTGCCTGGGTAAGAACCCAGTGATGTAATTTTGAACCAACTCATTCGTGTCATGATGTAACTTTGAGAAAATGTTTGCAAACTATGTTCGATTTCCTGCTGTATCTGCTGTGTTGGATATCCCGCACAGCTCCCCGTGGTTCCTGGATGTTCTTGGTATGTCTTTCCATTTCAGTTTAGTTTTTAACATTGAATTTCATTGGTTTCCCGTCCAAAGGTGACATATCGGATATATCGATTCCAAATTGCTGGTGAAATCACCTTGGTAAAGTCCCACTATGTCCCACTTCTTGCGCAACTGAACAAGTAACAAATAAACCTGGGGATTGGAATCGGATTCCAAGCTGGGCCCCCCGAGCCAAGCGCGAAACCTGTCTCCCTTGCGTCTCGATGGTGTGCTGCATGGCGCGCGATTGAACCTCTAAAGTCTGCCGCATTGCCTCAGTCCGAATTGAGCCCCGAATAAATATGAATAAATGACGGATTTGTTCTGGAATACCATCCGGGCATGTGATTGCATATAATCAGAATCCAGAGCCTGATGATATTCGGAGTTTCACTCCTGGCATACTTGGAGACCGAATGGGAGTTAATGGTACGTATCACCTCGTATCACCAACAGCTAATTGCGGGCCAAACAAATCGATCCGAAGTATAGATGCAGGCACTTGGCGGACTTGGCACTTGAAGCATTCCGCATTTCATCTGGGGATGTCCCCACTATCCGTGTTAGGCTCATTGAATTCAAGATAATTCAAGTAGAAGGAAGTAGAACACGAACAAAACACGTGAGGATCACGTGAGACATTAGAATACATTGGATACACAGCGGTGCCACATGGGGATCTAACAGGTCAACTATGCTGCAGGCTACAGGCTACGCAGCTACACGCACCTTGTGTGAACTATGACCTGATATGACCTGTTAGATCCACTATGACATCTATGACACTATGTAACTACAATGTAACTACAATGTAGCCATGACAACTGTGGAGGTTTCAAGCGATTTCACCGTCATTGTCATTGTCATGCGCATTCTAATCAAATAGAAATCTGTGCACATGGATGCTTTGTCGGTGAGTGCGCAAGATAGATATGCAAATCGCAAATCAGTGATGTCTTAACTATGGGTTAACTATGGGTATCATGTGCATGATGGTGGATGCATGGTGGATGCATGGTGGATGCATGGTGGATGCATGGTGGTCTGAAAGTCTGGCAGATCAAGACAGTATCAACTGGGCATCCAAGCTTTGGTCTGTTCTTCCAACACGAGCCTAGGAGGTCAGTTTCAAGCATGGTTTCAGTATTTTGTGGGGCTTCAAGCAAATGGATACTGCTAACATTGGGAAGCATGGTCAAAAGTCAAGACCCAGATTTTCTGCATAATATATATATATCAATCAATTCAAGTATTAAAACATATTAAACGTATTAAAACATTCAAGACTCAAAAATACGTTAGGTCTGTCTACTTTCCAGAACAAGTTTGCTTGTGGAACATATGTGGAACATATGTGGAACATATGTGGAACATCAATGCCTCGCCTGACTCGGACAAAACCAACGGAATTTGGCTGATCCCTCTCTTTTCAATCTAAACACTACGGTAGTGTCTTCGACATGCGGATGCCAAGATTGCCGACTTCCAGGATGAAATGTGCAAAATGAATGCAAAATGATATAAAATGATATAAAATTTTATTTTAAAATGATTCCCAGAGATTTTGACTCGCAAAATGAGCGAGATGGAGAAGGTCCCAATCCGAGGAACCCATGCTCTTTGACGGCGAACAGTAGGATCTCTCGTGTCTCACTGTTCGCGCTCTTGATCACCGGCCACAGGGCACCTCCACCGGCCGACACCGGCCGACCGGAAAAAACATGGGATCAAAACTGATCAAAACGGTTGTTATTTGGCATAAGTGGCATAAGTGGCATGAGATTCAAAGGATCACCATGGATCACCTCATCCTGCCTTTTGTGCAAAACATCTATCAAAGGAGATCGATGGGATTCTCATTGATTCTCTTTTGGAACAGTTCAACTACAGTAATCAATCTAGTATTCTGAGTCGGCAACGCACCACGGCACCAACCCACGTCTCGATGTCTTCTTCTGTAATGACATCCTGGCAGATGGTGGCCACGGCAAACTTCCTCTCTGGCAATGTGTTGAAGCATCCCTTAACTTTAGTCATGATCAAAAACCAATCTTTCGTATTATAATTTCTAAATACTTCTAAGATGCATAATATTTTAATTTATTAGGCAAAACGACCATTTTTGACGACCTTCACATTTCGCATGGGGATTCCGTGGATTGCATCGGGCGGTTGGCGCCTTGGCACGTGGGATGCTCGGAAACATCGACATCCCTCGGGTCCGTCGACCTCCGACGAACAGCGGATTCAGCGGATCTTGAGCCGCGGAGTTCGTGCCGAACTCCGTGAAAATCTTTTCAAACCTGGCGAGTGCCTTTTTGATGATCAACTATGGTCAACTTATCAAGCAACAAAACTGGAGTGTCATCCATTGTCATCCATTGTCATCCTACATCATACAAATCATACAACATTCTAACAAGTTTCATGCTCCCTCCACCTGTCCCATCATCCCGCAACAGGCATCCAAATGTTTTCCAGAAATCGTCCAAGCATGTCCAAGCATCATGATCCCCAATTTCCGCCATCCCAAAATGGGCTTGTCTGAAAATTGGGAAACCCTAATTGCACAGAGTAATCATCAGTTTCACTATCAATTTTTACATAACCTCTGGATAATATCCGATTTTCAGACATACGCACCTATGATTGTACATTCCATTTCATATAACCAACGAAATCATGCGCCGCGGAAAATCATCCCATGGTTTCCCATCATTTTTTCCATGGCTGTTCATCTTGAATCTTGCAGCCGCTTGCTCTACTCAGAGCTGAGGCGTCGTCGCTTTGAGCACGGCCCAGGTGAGACCAGGTGAGACCAGGTGGTGAGACATGGGACGGTTATGAACGGGGGATGGTGGTTGTGGTGACCGGAAGTGGATGAAATGCATCTCCCAGCGAAATGAGCCAACATCAAACAAATTTGATCTATTACTACAGTGCTTGATTGAAAAAATGTTGCTCGCATACTACATGTAGATGTGCACACTCGTCGTCCCAAAAAAACAGGGTGGCTGTGGCCTGTTTGCATGGCCCCATCAGTTCGAAAGAGAGCCAGGCACGGCAATAGCATACTCCTCGCCTTTGTCTTCCAAAGCTTTTGCTCCTGTCAGAATCAGGGCCTCCAAGGGGCCACATGGGGCCACGTTTGTGGACTTGGAAGTTGCTTGACATGCAGTGCAGTTAGAATTTTCCAAATTCATCCTGTACAAATTCAGAACCCAAAGCCATAAATCCATGATCTGATCATCTCTCATTTCTATCGCATTAGTTCAGACATGTTCATACAAAAAACAGTAGAAAAACAAGGGACTTGGTGCCGGTTCAGCTGCCACGGTTGGATTCACCACGGATCCACCCGGTCTCCTACATCTCCCAGGGCGGGCTGTGCTGGCGCCCCTGGCAACGCCAGTTCTGCTGCGGCATCACGTGGTCCATCTGTGATGGCCTGCAGGGGTTCTGATGCCCCTGTGCAGCTCCCAAGATCAAACAAGATCAAACAAGCGAAACAAGATCAAACAAGATCAAAGACTGCCAAAGCAGGTTTTCCCTGTCTTTCCAGTCATCATCAGTCATCCATGGCCAACACAAGGTTCGTTCGCTAATGTCTCATTCTAGATTTCTCTCAAATATGTGATGACATAAGTGGTACAAAGGCAATGGTCATGTTTGCAGATTCCTTCTTTCATTTGTCACATTTCTTCCCAAAAGTGTTTAAAGGTTTCCATATTCTCTCGGCCCAGACCTGCACGTCGGTGCCATTGTCCAACGCCGCTGCACTCATCTCTTTGGCTTCACCTTCCTGCGGAACATGCGCTCAGCTCAAGCCGCTGAACCGGCTGAACCCATCCCGATGTCGGATGAAACTGATGAAACTGATGAAACGGATGAAACCTAGGAATCTTATGGAATCTTCCAATATTCTTCGAATTTTCCAGGAATGTTGGAAAACATCTCACTTCGAGGGTTCGAGGTTCCCGTCATTTCCCCTACAAAGTGGCTCTATTGCACCAAACTTTATATCTCATTTTTCCATAGCATCCATGTATAATTCCAGTCGAAGCAATCGAAGTAATCATACAAATCCAATACAAGTCATAGTTTTCATTACATTTTCTCATATTTTTCCCAATTTTTTCTCCTTATTCCAAGGCATGTTTTCGAACTCCGCGGTCTGCAGGCGCTTGATGGTCTGCGCCCGGAAGTCGGGATGTCGCATGCGGTACTGCCGGGTGTCCAGGAAGACGTGCTCCCCGTGGGACATCACGGCGCGAATCGTGGCGTCCAACATGGCCACCTTCGCGTGGAACTTCTCCATCTCCTGAAGTTGGAGAACCACGGATTTGGGCTTCCCGATGCTTGAAACATCCCGGTTAAATAGCCATAAACAGTCAAGATTGAGAGTGTTTTTTGGAGAAAATTGTGGAGTTTTTTTATTTTAATATAGATCCATTGACATCTCCAATCATGTTGATGACCACGTTGATGACCTTTGTGATGTGTTGTCACATAGAAGTCACATCAATTGTGGTCACATTTTGTGGCGTCCTGTTCGAAGAGGGCATACTGTTTCCGCATGGAGTCGACACCGACCTGGGCCACCAAGAGGTCCTTGGACTTGGCGGGTCCCTTCATCCGAATGCATCCCGTGATGAATTCCTCCGTGGTCAACTCACCGGATTCGTCGTAGTCCAACAGGGCAAAGATCTGTCCGGGATCATCCACTGGGAAATCGATCATCTTCAGCTTGTTGTAAATCTCCGGTTTTTGGATCGCACTTTCCACCTCTTCCAACTTCAAAGTGCCACTGCCATCCACATCGGCCATTTCAAAAATCTCCTGCAACTGTCCAAAGACCTGTTTCCGATCTCGTTCCCTCCTGGCCTTCAACTTGTTTTGATCCTTGTTGGCCGTGGCCAAGGTGTTTTCCACCACGACTCCAATCATGATGCTCATCAAACCCAAGCTGCTGATGCACACGAAGATCAGGAAGAATATCAACATGACAGGCTGGTTGGCCACCACGTGTCTCACCACACTTTCATTCCTGGTGGTTCAGCTACATCATCGAAAAAATATATGTGACCTATCTGTGTTGCAACTGGTTTCAACGGAAAATGAGACAAACAACTAATTAGACAACATGTTAAGTAAAAACAACAGGATTCCATTGATCCAAAGTCATGATCTGAAACAAGGTGAAGGTAGATCTCCAAACCGTGGCGAAGTAGACTTCATGATCCCAACCACCGGACTTGGCGAAGTAGGGGTCATACAACTCATCGTTGTGCCCGATGACCGTGGTGCAAATGATAGCCTGAAGTGGTGGCACGTGGCAGCACGTGGTAACACGTGGCAACTGGTGAGGTTAACTGCTCATGAACCTTATCGCGATTGGTGTTTCTGCGGGATTCTGCACAGATCAACATCACTCCATCACTCCATGAACTAAAAATCCCAGTCATCTCAAGTCATCTCAAGTCATCTCAAGTCATCTCAAGTCATCCCCCTTTCATCCCCGTTCATCATCTCCACTTCTGACTCCTGGGTTTCCCGACGCAGGCGTAGCAAAAGAGCAGTGCCACCAAACAGATCCAGCCCAAGGTTTTCAATGACTGCAGCAAACCGCTGACCATCAGCCACAACTCCTGATCGCCAATCTTACACCCAAACCAAAACACGGACACCCAAACATGGTAAGCATTCTTATTGTGCATTCCCTTCAAAAACTTTAGCATGGACGTTTCAAACTATCGATAATTATTCCCATCATACATTAAATGTGACCATCATGTCTGGAATACACACAGTTCAATCAGTTCCATGCTTTGCCAAGATTTCCCCAGTCCTTGAAGAGTTTCAGCAATCGCAGCAGTCGTGCCAAACGCATCATGCGAACAAAACGCAACATGGCAACCACCTGGAACCATGTGGGACATGTGTTCCCATGAACAAATGGAGTTGTTGATTCCTTGGATTTTTGATATTATCTGATATTATCTCATCTCAACACAACACATGTCAAAATCATATCAACATAACATAACGTATGTTTGAAACAAACACACAAATAGATATGCACACACCCACACAGGAGATATGGGTTTGACTTGACCACGCCGCCACGCCCTATTGTTTTCTCCGTGTGTTTGGTAAAAAGCACGTGTTTACGTCACTGGGAGTCTCTGGAACATCCTCAAGAACCATGCCAATGGGGAAGTTGCTCTGAGTCGCGGGCCCTGGCTGTACCACCTACTCCAAAGGGGATCAGAATCATGGTATCCACCACAGACACACTGACAATGATGAAATCCGCAACGTTCCAGGCGCGGGTCACGGGGTTGGTGAAATAGCGCAGGCGATGGAAGTACAAACGCAGCAACAATTCGAAGAGGAAAATGATACCTGAAAATCTCATCAAATCTCATCAAATCTCATCAAATCTCATCAAATGACCATGTTGGGATAGGAGTGGCTACAGATCTCTCTGTGGAAACACGAATGGATACAACCAGTCAAAGCGATAGTCAAAGCGATGGATTGGTTGGGTGTCTGAAGTGTTCCGAATGTGGCCAATGTCGTGAATGAACAAAGCCTTCAAAAAGGGCTTGTGCTGGCCAAAAATGTGACACATTGTGACACAGTGCAAGCGGGAAATCACCTTGGCCAATGATTTGGGAACCTTCCAGTTGATGCAATTGGGATGTTGCAAAAAAAAACAAATGAAACATAATGAAACCGTGCGTCCTAGACAAATTCACACCCCCAACTTGCTCTTCAACGGAACGTGAATTTGACATTTGCAAATTGCAAACTAGTAAATGCACACTGCAACATGTGCCCACATGTAACAAGGTCAAGCACGGGGTGAAATCACCAGCCCATCATCACCAAGGATCAACATCAAACAACAACATACAACAACTGCAACAACTTCCCAAAAGCCTCCACATCAATCGGGACCGCTTGGCGCTTGGTTTTTGAGGGTTTGGCTCGTTTGGCTCCCACCAATCCAACAAATCCAAGGGGCAAAAAATCAGCTCCACGATGTACCATAGGTGATCATCGTGTTCCTCTTGGGTCGCTACAGCATGGGCCACAGAGTCGGTTTCCAGACCAATGGTCACCGAATTCAATGCAATCACCACACCCAAACCTCGTTGCAGCAGCCAAAGGACTTACCAGAATACTGGTTTCATGATGTTTCGTATGTTTCATGGGCTTCATGCCAACATATGGCAAATACCCAAGGATATGATTCAGATATGATTCAGTTTGCAGTTGATGCAGTTGATGCAGCTGATGGGGCAAGTTTGATAGCTCAACATTATGGAATCCCACAACCTGAAGGGCGTGTGGCCACATGATGCCACCATTTCACCCGTTTCACCAGTTCCACACCAGTTCCAAGGGACACATGTTGAAGAGCGGCGTATCCACAAAGGGTTTGGGCGGACGCACCTCTGCGCCGTAGTCGTCGTTCTCTTCTTCATCAGAGTCCTGACCCTAGGCGACAGACCGGCTTCATCCGGCTTCCGATTTGTTGATACCTCACCTTATTTTACATGCAAAAACGTGTGCACATGTTATGTATGATATGTATACACATCCGTGTGCGACATGTTTGTGTGTTTGCAGTGTGATGATCTATTTTTCAATATCGCGGGCAGGTCTGAGGCTTTACAATCTCTATCAAAACACTCCAATGTGGGGCATTTCATGTCTTCTCCCAAAAAAAACCAAAAGCAAGGTCAAGTCCCAGTGATGACCTTCCCCATGACAGAATAGAACTAATAAGTACCAATACTTCACCAATATTGCCAATACTTGTCATATCATTTTCATCGCATTTTCCCTGGGGCCTGGTTGTATTTTGCAACGAGTGCATCGGTCGGGTCTTGATCTCCTTGCACCGCACCCTTCAAAGACTCAGTGGCGCCGGAACGGTGCATCGGGGCTCCGGGGCCCTGAAGTCGGCCCTGACGTAAAAGGTATGTAAAATATGTAAAATACAGTAAAACTATAAATACAAAAGTGTTAGAGATACCCCTGAAAACGATGATCATTTTCAACGATGTGCATCGAAAATTGTATATTTCAAACATCTTTCAAAATTTCGAAATTACGAAACAGTCGAGAGTGATCAACATGGAATAAGATAGGTTACTTTACTAGATTGTTTCATGATGATTCAAAATCCTGCTTCCCTTGTCTCACACACCTTCACCTGTATCGGCGGCATGCGATAATGCGATAGGGATGGATATGGATGGATTGAAACCCTCAGTCATTGCCTGGTGGAAATTACTGTTTTTTGGAGTGACCAAATACTTGGAACATCTCCAGAAAAAATTGCCTATTGCCATCTCCAACAGTTGATGAATTCAAATGACTTACACATCACAACTGAGCTCCATACGGTGAACCAAGACTTTTTCGGCGGAGCAACCAATTCCTGGAGCTGTGCTTTCTCTACCTGTGCCAGGACCATAGTTCATCAACATAACACCGCTAAACAAAACGGCAATGCAGCAACAGAACAGAGGTGCCAAGTGGTGTTGCAATGGTCTATTTTTTTTGAACCGCAATTTGTGCTGGAAACATGAAGATCATGAAGGTCAAAAAAAATTGAACATTTCGTATCAAAAAAATGAGACACCACCGGCCCGAAGCGGCCCGAAGCGGGGCCCGCACCTCTTCTGCCAATTCCGCGGTGTCTTTGGAACACTTCGTGTCTGAGGCCATCGCCGTCTATTCCCCTCTGAGCTCAAATCTGCCGGAAACACCGTGCCGTTCCACCATGTTCCACCAACGGTGAACGTAGAACATGGTGGAAGGCATGAATGCAACGATATGCAACGCGTACATAAAAATCATAAAACAATCAGGAAATTGCAGGGCGCTTACCACAAAAACTGGATGACGCGTTGAGGCCGCAAACTGTTCACAGAGATGCGGGCATCGTTTCATGCATCCACATTATAAATGGTTCGCTGCAGGGCCGATCAGGTTGTTCTCTGCTCAGACTTTTTATCATTCATCACGCTGGCCAGCGATGCCAGGAAAACATATTGGCAAATTGACCGTGTCGCTGCCGGTTGAATGATGTGATGCTGCATCAAAGGAAGGGAAATCAACCAACGCATTTTCAATCGAAATATCCCTTTGGTAATTCTACCTTTATCCCTGTAACCTGGATTTCGTAAGTATGTGACAGAATATCCTGAAATAATCACGGTGTCAACCTTTTCAGGCCGCATATTTTATAAAAGCAAGGCGCCCACATTTCCATTTACACGTTATTCTTTGGAACATGGAGGACCCAACATGGACAATTTTTTCAGGCTTTCATCAATATGTTTTGCTTATTTTAAATCTGGTGGCCCGAGTTGAGCAAAACAACAACACCACACAATTTGTCACGATTGTCATTGCTCAGTCTGCTTGGAAAAGGTTCATATTTTAAACATAATTCCCTTTCTACTGATGATGTGCTGCGCTGATACAAGGGTTAAACTCTGTAACAAATGGTAGCAAGGATTCTTCACCACCTGTGATTGGAACACGTTGCGTTCGTGTTTTTTGGCGCGCCGGGCACCACTCAGGACCTGGCACCAAAATTGGACTGAAACCATCCCCAAGATCCACACTCCCAGAATCTCCACCAACCCTCGAAAAATGGAAAAACTCGAAGTTCGGCCTCTTTTGGGTACACCCTTCAGAAACAAATTAGAAAAAATCGAAGTTCCGCCTCTTTGGGGCACCTAAATTCTTTTCAAACACTGCGAAACCAGTCTGGGATCCTCTGTGTCCATCCGTCAACGTCCATCCGTCAACGTCCATCTATCCCTGTTGCTATCTATCATGTATGGCCATGTTCCAACTAGCGTCAAAACATTCGCAGTTACCATACGAAAAAAGTCGACACCGCGCCGGCACCTTAAATTCAAATCGTTTTCTTACAATTTCAAACGCGTTTTTATGAAAACACTTTCTCACACAAGTGTACACATTTTTGGAAATCGATTATTTTTGCAGGATTTTCAACAAACCGGATGAATGACCAAGGACGTACTCATCCTCATCAAGCAGCATAGTCATTAAAGTGGTCCACACTATCGTTTCCAGTTGTGTCAGCCCCATTGGGGCTTGCAAATGGTTCAAATGAGTACAAACACCACCGCCACGACCAGGACCACGACCACCACCACGACCACCACCACCACCACCACAACAACAACTACAAAAACAAAAACGATGACGGCGACGATGACAACGACGATGAACACCACGACTGCACTTGGTGCTACCACCTGCTAGTACCATTACTATGTTGGCTGGGAAGCCTGGATGATTGCCATTGTTGTGTTTTGGAGACAATGACTATCTGGTAGTGTTGTTATTGCGTCACGTGCGCAGCACCTTTGTAGCAGGTTAGAAGACCTAGAACGTTGAAACGTGCTGAAACAAAAAGCAAGCCCTACCAGCAGCGCCCGAACCAAGAACACACTTGTATTGCGGTAAGCTGCTGTTCGATCGACCAGACTGCTGGAACCATGCTGCTGATTTTCTGCTAATTCCACCTCACTCCCAGTAGCTTCGCGCAGTCTTGGATGTTTGAAAAAAACGTGATGAAATCAAAATAGGACATGGCAATGCCTTGAATGCCCGGGGTTGCCAGGATGATTCCCCACGTCAATCACGTACCCGACGAGCTTTCCGCGCATGGCTTGATAAAGACGCAGCTGGCCCTACGGTGTTGAAGCCATTTCGGCCTGCCAAAGTGTTTAAAACTGTGGATGATCAAGTCGTCCTACACTGGAAATCGAGAAGTGTAACAAGTTTTCTTTTGAGTTGAGAAGATTAGCACGGCCCCTGCATAGGAAACCAATCTTGTGCAGCATGGTCTTTTCTGCCAAGGTCGACATGATTCCCTTGGTACAAACTTTCATGGCTCAAGAAAAAAGAGTCCGCTGCGCGCTCCTGGGACGGACCTGTCGCTTCACAGGTTATGGGCCCAAGGGTCTTTTGAGGCTCTTGGCTTGACCGTTGGTGCCATGGCCATGCATAGGCGCAGGCACTACAGGGCTGAGAGCGCTGATGAGAGGTTGGAGAAAAGGGCAAAGTCGTCACCTCCGGTGGAAGAAAGGCAGCCTGAGATGAGACGGCTGAAGATGGTCCCTGAAGGGAATGAGGCAGGAGCGGCATCGGCTTCGGATGGTCGTTGTGATGAGACTGGACGAGCGGGTGGTGCAACGCTTGCTGCTGGTGGGAGAAGAGCTGAAGCTGGAGGGGATGGGAGCCGGGGTCGGGAAATGGCCAGACCGGTGAGTCTGCTTGCAAAAAAACTTTGCTGCAGAAGCCCCCGGAAGATACGGAGAAACGTTATACCAGCAGGTGTTACCACAGGGTCAAGGACTTTGAGATAGAGGCTGGCAAAGGTGAGGCAGATGCCAAAAATTTGGCCCCAACCATGCACAAGCATGCCAAGGAGATGTGGAATTCCATGTTTGTGGCTGATAGCTTGTCCACATAGTGTTTCACTTTTTTGCATCTTTACCGCTCATGGCAGCCTCTTTTTGAGGCGTTCTGAATATGCTCTCTTTAGTTTATATGTGTAGCACAATTTGTGCTCAGTTTGCTTTGTGGTGTTGGCATTTGATGAATGCCTTTTGAACACCTGCAGCAGCCACAGGGAGAAGAGAGAAAATGGTCGGAGAGGTGTTATACTATAAGTTTTGGATAGAATCTTTTTTCATGATTCATGATTTCTATTAATGAGCGGTGTGACCGCTATATGTCTATACTTCTAGCGGTGAGATACCGCTGGTATATAGAGATGTCCAAGGGAATGCGTGATCTCTGCATGTTTCTATAATGGGGAAGCGGTTTGCCGCTTTATATGTCTCTACAAACCGTCTGTATTCTTCTGGGCTATTTGATTTTCAGAGGGTTTTGTATATATAGATAGCAACTGTGGTGTCAAATTTACTAGTTATAACTAGTTACC